TGCCGCCCCTCGACGCAAGGAATGCAGGGCAGCGCAGGCGAGGGAGGGAGGGCAGGCAGAGACCTGGGAAGACCAGAGACCAGGGAGCGAGAGTGCATGCTACGCAGGCGAGGCAAGGAGGGGTGACCAAGGCGGTGGTGCCACAGGAGAGTGTCGTGCGACAAAGCGCGACACTTGCAGGGGGCCGCCAGCTGACCAGACACAGACGCAGACGCAGCTACCTGAGGGGACTCAGTGGTGAGTGTGTACAGACTCGAGCCAGGCGCACGGGTAAACGTGGCCAGGTGTCGGCCCGTCCGAGCACACGTACAGCGGGTCACTCGCTGACTCGCAGGAGTGAACTGGTGAACCCCTCCATCCTGGAGGTCAGCTCCCGCCACCAAGTTCGTAGAGAACGAGGGGAGGTAAAGACCTGACAGGAAGCCAGACGGGACGGCCGGACACGGCAGAACCGTGGAGTAGTGGGCAAGGACTGGGCCCCCGGAGGGGTCCGCCAGGGAGACTGGAACTGGCCGACTGAGCGGCGTGAGTGTGGTGCAGTCGCGAAAGAAGGAGCGGGAAGCTCTTGAGTCAAGGGTGAAGGTGTGCGAGACCGCAGAGGGCGCAGTACCAGAGAGAGCAGACTCACCAGCACCTGAAGCCACGGCCTCACCAGCACCTAGAGCAGAAGACGTACTAGCACCGAGAGCAGCAGCCTCACCAGCACCTAGAGCAGGAGACGCACTAGCACCTAGAGCAGCAGCCTCACCAGCACCAAGAGCAGCAGGCTCTATACCAGGGTCAGGCGGTACGCACAGGTAACAGGCACGGTCAGCACTAGTAGGCAATGCATACATGGCAGTGAGAATAGCATCATAGTCAAGCGCAAAGATATCTACCCTCTGTCCATGCAGCTCCAGCCAGGTGGGGAGCTCAGCCTCGTCGCCAAACACTGTGCGCCAGTCGTCGCTCAGACGGGCGAAGCAGCGGGACTGTGTGTGACCAAGCGTCCCACAAGGCTGACCAGTCCTAGCACCTGTGCGAATGACGTACGGGCAGCGAACTGTACGCGTAGACCTGCTACACTGAGCATACCACTCCTGGAGCTGCCGGGGCGTAAGTGTCTCACGTGGACGCCCCTGCAGCTGCAGCTGGCCACTACCAGACGCTCCCAACTGACCAGCTCCAGGGCGACAGCTACGACGGCTACTGCGACAACCCCAGCTAGTATACCACTCACTAAGCTGCTGGGGCGTGAGAGGCTCGCGTGAACGTCGCTGGAGCTGCATCTGGCCACCTGCCAGTAGCAGTAGCAGCAGCAGTAGCGCGGGCAGGGCAGGCGCGGCAGGCAGGCAGGCAAGCAGGCAGGCAGGCAGGCAGGCAGGCAGGTAGGCAGGCCGGCAGGCAGGCAGGCAGCCAGGCAGGCAGGCAGGCAGGCAGACAGGCAGGCAGGCAGGCAGGCCGGCAGGCAGGCAGGCAGGCAGGCAGGCAGGCAGGCAGGCAGACAGGCAGGCAGGCAGGCAGGCGGGCAGACAGACAGGCAGGCCGGCAGGCAGGCAGGCAGGCAGACAGGCAGGCAGCCAGGCAGGCAGGCAGGCAGACAGGCAGGCCGTCAGGCAGGCAGGCAGGCGCTCACCAAAGGCTGGGAGAGCAGGCGATCACCGGGCGAGCAGGGCCGGCGCTCGACGGCGGCGGCCGAGTAGGCGCGTCAGCGGTAGGTCGGGGCCGTGGAAGCTGCAGGGCGGGGCCGCATCAGCGGCAGGTCGGGGCCGTGGTAGCTGCAGGGCGGGGCCGCATCAGCGGCAGGTCGGGGCCGAGGCAGAGGGCCGCGCGCGGCTCGGCGCGGGCTGCGCTGACAGCGCGCTGAGCTGCTGCAGGCCGCGCGCGGCCGCGCTAGGCAGTAGCGGGCCGCGCGCGGCTCGGCGCGGGCTGTTGCGGGCCGCGCGCGGGCCGCGCGAGGCAGTAGCAGGCCGCGCGCGGCTCGGCGCGGGCTGCTGCGGGCCGCGCGCGGGCCTCGCGAGGCCGTAGCAGGCCGCGCGCGGCTCGACGCGGGCTGCGTGGGCTCGGCGCGGGCTGCGCGCGGCAGCTGCGGGCTGCGCGCGGCTGCAGCGGGCTGCGCGCGGCTCGGTGCGGGCTGCGCGCGGCTGCAGCGGGCTGCGCGCGGCTCGGCGCGGGCTGCGTGGGCTCTGTGCGGGCTGCGCGCGGCTGCAGCGGGCTGCGCGGGCCTGACGGGCGTGTAGAGGGGGCGCGCGGGCCTTACGGGCCTCTAGGGGCGGCGCGCGGGCCTTACGGGCCTCTAGGGGCGGCGCGTGGGCCTTACGGGCCTCTAGGGGCAGCGCGCTGGCCTAAGGCAGCAGGAGGCAGCGCTAGGGCTGCTGGACGGCGCGCATAGTGCAGCACGTCACAAGGCAAGGCAAGGCAGGCAGGTACGTGGGGTAGCGCGGTAACCGCAGCGGTAGGTGGGCCCGAAAAAAAAAAAAAAACGGTCCTACGGACCTTAGTGCTCTGAAACCATGTCAAAATCTAGCAGCAGGAATGAATGAACTAACAGGATGCAGGAGTACAAGTAGTAAACCCTAATTGGGTTGTACCCCATATGGGCTACCCCACTACAGCCTAAACAATATGCAGCACATATAGTTTGACAACCTCATTGCGCAGCAACACACCGCGTATAACATCCGACCGTTCTTTTCCAGTCACAGCCTAGCGGTGCTCATTACTGGTTGGACTTGGCCGAGTCGGCCTCGCTGCTAGCATTGCACTAAGTATTTTATTTCGCAAGTCTACGTGACAGTTTGCTTGTTTTTGTTATAAATGCTCGATTATGCCTTGACTCGAATTTTTACTCGTTTTCCTTAGTGCGATCCTTGCTCGATTTATTAGATGCACTCATAAGACGTAGCTAGTTGTTATCGACCTGTAATAACATATAACAGCTCTTTCATTCACAAATCATTACAACTATACTGCAATGAAGGAACGAGCCACTTATAATGAAGGAAACTGCAATCGATTTTCGTGTACCATGTGCGCCGCCGATTCTGGCGCTCCCCCACGCACTTGCACACTCCACCACCAACCAAGCAAAACCAGCTCACTGTACAGTGCTCGTGATGGGGTTGTGGTTGGGGGAAACGGTCTGCTGCAGCAGCAGGAGGAGCAGCAGTAGCAGCATCCCCAAAGACGTGTGGTTGTCGCAGGCCACGGTCCATCGCACCCCCATCGCACGGTCCGTGTTCATCCAAAAGGGCATCTACAGTACAATTACGTACGTTTGGTACAGAATGAGCTGACGGTGCTGTGCAACAGCGCTGCAGGAAGAAACGAAACGCCACGCCCTGCGGGGTCCACCGAACCGTTCGTGCCCGTGCGGCGCTGTGCGTTTCCTTTCCAAGCGTGCTGGCTAGTGGTTTGTCTGAACCGCATAGAACCGTTCTGCAAGTATAGCGGCCCCTACCAATTTCCGGTTTGAAAGCCCTCCATATTCCGCCCTGTCATCAGTTTGGGCAAGCCGTTCTTTCCCGCATGGAAGTAGTGTGTCAGTGGCTGCGTTACAGTACGGTTCGGTGGAAAGACCGCGCACAAGTCATCGCGTGTGGGCAGGCCGTGGCATGGCCTGATTCGTGAACGGTTTCGTGATCGTCCGAGTAACCAGTCTTACACCGAAGTCTGGCACAGCAATCTGTCGCATGAGAGCGTGCGACTTGTCGCTGACGGGCATCACCCTTCACGACCAAGAATGTGGGGGTCTGCGACAGAACGAAGCAGTAGAAGCTTCAAGTACGGAATCCCGTGTAAGACGAACACGACAATCAGCCAGTCTGGCTGAAGGTAGGGGAGAGGACATAACTGGGAACTGCCGCTGAAATGACGGAGGCTCCATGAGAGTGGGTTGTTCCGACGAGACATTCCTCTTGGACTGAGAGAGCGCTAGTACGGATTCGATTCTAGAGTATCTATTACGAAGATAATAATGTTCGCACTTTTTGATCGCCTCGTCGTTGCTCAGGTCGGCAGCATCTGTCGCGAGAGCGCGAGGAACGCACACGTAAACGTTTCGAGTCGGCCATGGCAAATACGGACAGAGCACTGTTGCAACTAAAACGGTTCCACCTACCATTCCCGATACATTAGTTTGAACGCGCTGCTCGCGACTCGGTGATCAAAAGCGATTTCGTTCAATAGTATTACCTAACCGCAAACTCGATCGCATGATTACATCATACTTGTTATACACCCTTAACTAGCTAAGGTATTTATTATGGAGTCTTATACAGAGAAGCGGCACGCGTACAGGCGGCGGTACCTGCCTTGGTATTGCCGACCGATGCGGCTAAGCGAAGAGGACTTAGAGCTTGGGGAGATGGAGGAGGAGGAGAGGGAGGAGGAGGAGCGGAGGCGACACGAGGAGAAGTTACAGATGATCATGGCCGCGAAACCCGTCAAATGGACCACATACGCGATATTGGTCCGTTCCGTTTCCTGTGCCCTTGGTCTCACTGAGCTGTCGCATGATCATGATACCTAGTAACGCTAAACGCTTGAAATTGTAACGACTCGGTCGCGATTGCATTTGCTTTTCACGCCAAGCTTCCCGCCGCTCTAGTGGCACTTATTGCCACGCACAGCCGCTTCGTCTGGTGATTAGCTCAGCCAACTTGCGTGCTCTTAGAAATGTCATTTTTTGGGGGGAGATTCTGAAAATTACGCGCACGAGACCTAGATCGAGACTGAGCCGTCGTTGTAGTCGCCTTCAGGTCCGCAATAGGTCCAAGCACTGACGGGATGGCATGGCGTGGCGTCGCATTAGCCATTGTAGCGAGATTGGCGTCATTTTTTTTATGAGACGCAACGCGGCTCACCTAAGGTTCTCAGAATGACAGCGCGTCGGGCTTGGCGGTTACCTATTTCGCCGAAGTAGACGATTTTTCGCACCTCGCGGTTGCCCGTTCGGGACGCGTAGAAGGGGTCGTCAGCGCCGCAAACGCTGTACTGCCACGTGGCTCCTTACGTTGGCGATGTTCTCTAGGGTTTCACTAAAGCTCGCCTCGTTTAGAGTGTTCCAAGTTCCAACCTTAATGGGGGGATGATTCCAACCGTTCGCTTCCTTTTCCTCCTTACTCCACCATCCCCCCCCTCCCCTCGTCCCACCCTTGCGGTCATATTCGCACTCAATTCGTCCGCGCTACAGGCTGCTGCGTTTTCCGCGCTGGTGCTGCTGGCGGTGCTGTGCTGGGCGTTCATCTCCGCCATGCAGCCGTCCCCCCACTCCCTCGCCCTCCACCTGCGCACGCAACGCCTTGACGCCGCCGCCCTTGCCGTCCTCTCCATCCAACAGGTAACTCCACAGTATACCTGTTGAATACATGCTGGCCTGGGCCCTCGGTAGTAGCCGCTCTCCCACTCCAACTTCCCCTGCTTCCACCTGCGCACTTAGCACCTCACCGTTCTCTCTCTCTCCAACAGGCGACAGACAAAACCATAAGGTCATCTGCATAACATTGTCGGTAGTGCTCCTCTCCTGCCCTTCACATCCCATAAAACCTCTTTCCTCCCCCCCTCCCGTCTCTCTCCCTCCCCCGCTCCTCTTTCTCCCCCACCCCCGCCCTTCCACTCGGCGTCCCCTTGACCCCTCTTTCTTTAGAATCCCTACTCTGTGATCTCAATCTGTCGTCGTCCGAATCGGGATCCCTCTTCCATTCTGCTCCTCCGTTAATCTCCTGTTCCATTCTGCTCCTCCGTTAATCTCCTGTTCCATTCTGCTCCTCCGTTAATCTCCTGTTCCATTCTGCTCCTCCGTTAATCTCCTGTTCCATTCCCTCTCCTCCTTTCCCGCGTTTTCGACCCTCCCGCCGCGTTTTCCCCATCCACCCCTCCTCCCCCTTCCCCCCTTCCCCACCTTCCATCCTTCCCCCATTTCCCCTGTTCCCCCCTCCCCCTTTCCCCCATTCCCCCAGAGGTTGCAATATGCAGCAGTGGCGCAGGCCATGGCGCTGACCTCAGCTCTCAACGCCGTGACCAGAAGCAACGTCAGCACTGGTAGACAGAGCAGCAACAACCTTACAAGAATTCTAGCACAATCCCAGGAGGTGCGAACCTCCTTTTATGTCGTAACCTTATTTGGATAATCTCTTCTTTCCCTCACAACCCCAATTTCTCTCCACACAACCTGATTCGAAACCACCATTCCTTCCCCCCCCCTCCCCCACCACCTCACAATTTCCTTTCTGCTCTCCCCACACGCCTGACTTTCTCCCAAGAACGTTTCTGCTCCAACTTCGCTCTGCTTCTCCCCACGCACCTTACCTTATCGCTGGAACTAAGTCCTCTTTTTCTTTCTCACCAAGTTTCCCCGTCGTCCCCTCTCCCACCATCCCCATGCCCACTCCTCCCTCACCCTCCTCACCTGTGCAGGCCCTGCTAGCCACGTCCTTCCCCTTCATTCGCCCCGACCCATCTCTCCACATCACTGCATTCGTTGCCCCAGACGGCTTTCTCACCGGCTACTTGCGCCCCTTGCAAGGGCCCTTTCACAGTAGCGAAAGCAGCAGCAGGAGCAGCAGCAGTGGCAGCAGCAGTAGTGATAGTGGCAGTGATAGAGATAGAAGCAGCAGCACGGGCAGTGGTGTTGACAGCAGCAACAGCCTCGTTGCTGCTCCTCTGTACCGCATCCGATCCCCACTCAACCTGCCCCTCGCCCCTCCAGATGCTGCTGCGGGAACCAGCCCAGATCTAGGGGCGCAACGGAGCTTAAGAAGCAGCAACAGCAACAGCAACAGCAACAGCAACAGCAGGCTGTGACCGTGTCAGACCCCACACTCACCCAAACCAACGCCCCACCTGAGGTTCCCTCTAGACAACTGTTGAGACGCCCCGGAAGCAAGAGCATGGGAAGCAGAAACCGGCTGACTGTGACTGTTTCTGAGACTGATCCTTCACTCATTCACTCCAGTGCTGTGCCTGAGGTGTCTTCAAGACGGCTAGCTGCCTCAGCTGCCATCTCCACCGCACCCCACCGTTCTGAGTTTCACAGACAGCACCAATCAAGAACCTCTGCTGGTAGTAGACGCACCGTCCGCAGCAGCCACAGCAGCAGCTTTGGTTCCGTGCCAGGCTCGGGCCAAGCTTCGGTTTCAGCCTCGGCAGCAGCAGTAACAGCTGTCCCACCTTCTCCTTGCACCCTCTTACCTTACGTTCTAGAGGGGTCTTTCCTAAACGGTTCGTTAGTGAATCAGTCTGTAGTGAGTACAGCCATGCTACCTGACCTGCGCACTGTACCGGGTTACAGTGCCTCTCTCTTGTTACAAGCAGGCTCCTTTATAAACACCTTCAGTACAGAGCGCCCTGCTAATTGCCCGCCCCCAGATAAACCTCCCCCTCCTGAGTGGCCTATGGACTTTTTAGCAGCACTTTCTCCCGTTTTTTTGGGTGGTACTGCCAGCTCAGCAAGTGCCACGTCAGTCGGCGCTAGCCTGGCAGCTGTCCCCCTTGCTGACGTGGCAGCAGCATGGGCTGGCATCAGCATCAACAGTGGCAGCAGGCCAGCCAGTCCGGAAGAAACCCAGAAGCTTCCTTCACGTCTGCTGCTTGTTTCAGCCACTGGAGGGCTTTTGTTGTCCTCTTCTGGTGCAGCGGGCGGCCCTGTAGCACCCGATGACGTCATCGTGACGTCATCAATGTCAGCATTAGGGTTAGGAAAGCCTGCTGAGTCAGCAGGTCAGGGTGCTGAGTCAGCAGCAGTGCCTGTGGTGGAAGCAGCTCCGGTGAACTCGTCAGCAGCAGCGTTAGGCAGCGTGATGAGATCGCTACAGACAAATATCGCCGGCCAGGACTACTACATTGACTCTCTTCCTCTTGTCTTCAGCACTGCTGCCAATTACGTGAGTCCAACCACTTGCCCTGGAGCTCTCTCCCTCCCCCGCTCCGCCTCCCCCCCCCCTCCCCAAAATCCGTATTCACATGCTTCTGCTCTCCCTCGCCACTCTCCTATCTCTCCCGTTACATCTAAACTGGCGTGTGCACCTCGCGTCCCTCTCACCCTCACCTCCCCCGCTCTCCCCTTGCAGAGCATCGTGTATGCATCAGCAATGGCCCTGTACGAGACACCACCGCGGACCTCCACAAGAGTCTCAGACCCCACCTCTCCCCACCCTTCCCCACCTCTCCCCACCCTTCCCCACCCTTTCCCATCCCTCCCCATCTCTCCCCACCCCTCCGCCAGACCATCGTGTATGCATCAGCAGTGGCCCTTTACGAAGTACCACCCCCAACCTCCACCAAAATCGCCTCTCTCGTGCTGCTGTTGCTCTCCATCGTTGCTCTGCTCGCCTGCGCGGTGCTGCTCGTCTCAGTTGTTCGCAGACGCAGTGGCAACGTGTCTTTTCTACAGGTTGGTTTGTAGAATAGGTGTGGATTGAGGTGAAGTGGGGTGAAGTGCGGGTGTGAAGGTCAGGCATCTTTGCTGCTGGTCTCCATCGTTGCTCTCCTCGCCTGTGCGGTGCTGCTCGTCTCAGCTGTTCGCAGGCGCAGCGGCAACGTGTCTTTCCTACAGGTTAGTGGTGGCAGGGGGATAGGGGTGAAGAGGGGTGAAGTGGGGTTTGAAGAGGTACAGAGGGGACTAGTGTGGATAAAGGTCAGGCTTCTCTGCTGCTGCTCTCCATCGTTGCTCTCCTTGCCTGCGCGGTGCGGCTCACCTCAGCCGTTTGCAGGCGTAGCGGCAACGTGGCCTTCCTGCATGTTAGCTTATTAACTAAAGGTTGAGGGGTGAAGAGGAGTCAAATGGGTTCTAGAGAGGCCTCTCTGCTGCTCTCATTCGCTGGTCTCGTTTCCTGCACACTGCTGCTCGTCACAGGTTGAACTGCTTTACATAGTCTCTCACTTACCTTGCTTTGCATGCCCACTCTGCCACTCTCACCCATGCCTTTTCTCTCCCATGCCCTCTCACCTCTGTGGTGTGATGGCAGGACGAGGTGCAAAGGCAGATGATGCTCACCAAGAGGGCTGAAACAAGGTCCCAGACCAAGGTACGTACGGTGGTGATGGTCCGTGGCGACAGACGGTTGTGGGGATGGTGAGCTCATGTCTCTGATTGTAGTGTTCATGATTTTGAGTCGACTCAAAATGAGCCGTGTTTTAAGTAGACTCAAGATGAGCCGTGTTTTGAGTCGACTCAAGTGTTTAGAGTCGAATCAAAGCACAGATGGTTGTTTGTGGGGATGGTGAGCTCATGTCTCTGATTGTAGTGTTCATGATTTTGAGTCGACTCAAAATGAGCCGTGTTTTGAGTAGACTCAAGATGAGCCGTGTTTTGAGTCGACTCAAGTGTTTTGAGTCGACTCAAAACACAGATGGTTGTTTGTGGGGATGGTAAGCTCATGTCTCTGATTGTAGTGTTCATGTTCTGTTTGGTCTGTGCCCGCTGGGCTGCTAAGCTGCTGGGCTGCTGCTCTTTCATCCCTCAGCCCCCCTGCTCCTCATCCTTCTCTCTCCCCCCCCCTTACCTCCCCTCAGAGCGCCTTCATAGCCAGCATGAGTCACGAGCTGCGCACACCCATGGCAGCCATTCTAGGTCTGCTGGACCTGGTGCTTGGTCTTGTCCCCCTCCAAATACCACACCAACTTCATGCGCACGCCCATTCTTTGACACCCCGTCTTTCCCCCTCAGAGTGCTTTCCTGGCCAGCATGAGTCACGAGCTGCGCACACCCATGGCGGCCATTCTAGGTCTGCTGGACCTCGTGTTGTGTGAGGACCTGCTGCCCGAGGTGCATGTGAACGTGCAGCAGATCAAGCTGGCAGCGACTGCTCTGCTAGGCCTTCTGAATTCCATTCTTGATCTAAGCAAGGTCAGTGGGGGCGTGCGCTGTCTCTTTCTTGAGTACTGCGGAACAGAACAATACATAACAGCACAGCCCTGCACCTGGTGCTGTGCGAAGACCTGCTGCCCGAGGTGCATGTGAACGTGCAGCAGATCAAGCTGGCCGCTACCACGCTCTTAGGCCTTCTCAACTCCATCCTGGACCTTAGCAAGGTGAGTGTGACTGCTGTAGTGTTTAACAAGGAAGTAGCGCGAGTATGTGCACCTGCACCTGCACCTGCACCTGCACCTGCACCTGCACCTGCACCTGCACCTGCACCTGCACCTGCACCTGCACCTGCACCTGCACTTGCGCTTGCCACTTGCCACCTGCACCTGATGCTGTGTGAGGACCTGCTGCCCGAATGCACATGATCAGACTGGTGGTCTCTGCACTGTGAGGCCTCCTCGACTTCAACCCCGACCTGAGCAAAGAGTCAGCTGTGCTGCGCTTGTGTGTTTGTGCATGTGCTTATGCGTGCATGTGCATGTGCATGTGCGTGTGCGTGTGTGGTCACCTTACGCTTGTGGAATGCAGGTGGGCGTGGTTAAGCGCGTGCAGGAGTGTGTTACCTCTGGCCTGTTTGTCTAGAGTTGATGGCGTTGTTTCTGTGTGTGTGTGAGGTCGTTCTAAATTCTCAAACCAACTTGTGAGTGTGTGTGCACTGTGTGGTGAGAGCAGATGGAAGCGGGAAAGCTGGTGCTGGAGTGTGTTGACTTTGACCTGTTTGTTGTGCGCTAATGACTTTCTGTCTGTGCGGGTGTGTGGGTGTGTGTGTTGGTGTCTGTGCGTGGCCCATGGGTGCATGCGTGCATGCAGGTGGAGGCAGGCAAGCTGGTGCTGGAGTGTGTTGACTTTGACATCCGGAAAGACCTCGAGCTCATTGTGGAGATATTCTCCGTGCAAGTGAGATACACTTTTGTGGGGGGAAATCATACGTTTTTTAAGATGACGCTATATATTCATGTGTATATATGTATGTATGTATGTATATGTATATACGTGATGGTACACATGGCCATCAACGATAAATTTCAACTATACGAGCGAATTAAAATGTTTGCATGCACGTTTTCTTCCTTCCACCACACATGTGTCATGCCCACATCCCCCCACCCCCGCCCCATATGTGCCATGCCCACATCCCCCCACCCCCGCCCCATATGTGCCATGCCCACATCCCCCCACCCCCAGCCCACATGTGTCATGCCCACATCCCCCCACCCCCGCCCCACATGTGTCATGCCCACATCCCCCCACCCCCGCCCCACATGTGCCATGCCCACATTCCCTTCCCTCCGGCCCTCCCCTTCCACTCCTCCTGCCCCTCTACTCCCCCTGCTCTTACTGCCCTCGCTCCCCAGGCTTTAACCAAGGGAACAGAGATCTCTCTGGACCTTTCAGACGATCTGACCCACATGGTGCCATGTCAAGCCATCCCTTGCCTCGTTCCTCACTGTCCCCTCCCCTCCTGTCCCTTGTCCTCCTCCCCCTGTCCCCCCGTTTCAGGCTCTAACTAAAGGCACGGAGATCTCCCTAGACCTTTCAGACGATTTAACCCGCATGGTGCGGGGCGACCCGCTCTCCAACTCCATCAAGTTCACTCCAAATGGTCTCACACCCGCCCCTCCCCTTCTCCCCTGTCCTCCTGCCTCCCTTCCCCCTATTCCTCTTCCATTCCCTCTGCCCTCCTTCCCCTGTGCCACGCTCCTTCCCCCATCCCAGGCTTTAACCAAGGGTACAGAGATCTCCCTGGACCTCTCGGACGATCTGACGCGCATGGTGCGGGGGGACCCGCATCGCGTGCGGCAGGTGTTCAACAACCTGCTCTCCAACTCCATCAAGTTCACCCCCAAGGGTCATATAGTCATCCGCGCCTGGAACCGCCCCTCCCACGGCCAACAGCAGCAACACGGACAGCAGCAGCAGCAGGGGCAGCAGCAGGGGCAGTTTCACGGGCAGTTGCATGGGCAGCAGCATGGGCAGCTGGGGTGGGCGGAAGGGGAACGGGCGGCGCTGCAAGGGGGAGGGTCCGGTGCGATGGAGGGGAGTCAGCACGGGGGAGGGGAGGGGGGCGGGGGGGAGGAGAAGGAGAGGGGGAAGGGGAAGGTGGAGCTTGTGTTTGAGTTGGAGGACACGGGGTGTGGTGTGCCCAAGGACAAGAGGGAGGCTATCTTTGAGACGTATGGACAAGCTGACCAGGCGCACGGGCGGATCGGCACGGGATTGGGCTTGGCTATTGTGCGATCGCTGGTGAGTCCTGGGTTTAGAATTCAAGGTAGGGTTTGGCGTTAGGGTTCGGTGTCTGGTTGGGGGAAGGGGAAGGTGAAGCTTGTGTTTGAGTTGGAGGACACGGGGTGTGGTGTGCCCAAGGACAAGAGGGAGGCTATCTTTGAGACTTATGGGCAGGCTGACCAGGCGCACGGGCGGATTGGCACAGGTCTGGGTCTGGCCATCGTGCGATCGCTGGTGAGACCTCTGGGTTTAAGGTTGAGGGTTTAGCAGCCGTGCAGGGAGGGGCGAGGCGGAGCAGGAGAAGGAGAGCTGGCGCCTGGGAGCTTGGGGCATAAAGTTTCTGTATCTGTGCCCTTGTGCATGCCTCAGCTTGCTGTCTCTCTCTCTTGTTGCCTTCTCTCCTCTTCCTTCAACCCCTCAGGTGGAGATGACGGGGGGGCAAGATAGCCGTCGTCGACAAACCTCTCCCTCTCTCCTTTCTCTCTCCCGTCTCCCTCCCTTCTTCTCTCCGGATCTGCCCTGTGTCCCTCTCTCCTCCCCTCAGGTGGAGATGATGTGCGTAAAGACAGCAGTGGTTGATAAGCCCACGCCCGCTCCAGGCTCCCTCTTCCGCTTCAACCTCTCCCTCTCCCCAATCTCTCTATTCCCTCTCCCCCGTTTCTTTCCCTCGCAGGTGGAGATGATGGGGGGCAAGATAGCAGTGGTAGACAAGCCCTCGCCCAGCCCAGGGTCGCTCTTCCGCTTCAACCTCTCCCTCTCCCCAATCTCTCTATTCCCTCTCCCCCGTTTCTTTCCCTCGCAGGTGGAGATGATGGGGGGCAAGATAGCAGTGGTAGACAAGCCCTCGCCCGGCCCAGGGTCGCTCTTCCGCTTCAACCTCTCCCTCTCCCCAATCTCTCTATTCCCTCTCCCCCGTTTCTTTCCCTCGCAGGTGGAGATGATGGGGGGCAAGATAGCAGTGGTAGACAAGCCCTCGCCCGGCCCAGGGTCGCTCTTCCGCTTCAACCTCTCCCTCTCCCCAATCTCTCTATTCCCTCTCCCCCGTTTCTTTCCCTCGCAGGTGGAGATGATGGGGGGCAAGATAGCAGTGGTAGACAAGCCCTCGCCCGGCCCAGGGTCGCTCTTCCGCTTCAACCTCTCCCTCTCCCCAATCTCTCTATTCCCTCTCCCCCGTTTCTTTCCCTCGCAGGTGGAGATGATGGGGGGCAAGATAGCAGTGGTAGACAAGCCCTCGCCCGGCCCAGGGTCGCTCTTCCGCTTCAACCTCTCGCTGGACCGTCCCGACCCTGCTGCAGCAGCCGTGCGCCCGGGGGGGGAGGCGGAGGAGCAGGAGAAGGAGAGCTGGCGCCTGGAGGCGCCGCTGATGCGCGCGCTGTGGGACGGGGACGTGCTGCTGGTGATGGGGGCTTGCCCGGGCAGAGAGGTGGCGGGGAAGTGGTTGAGGCAGCGAGGGCTGACTGTGGTGGAGGTTGGGGCGTGGGAGGAGATGGTGGAGCGCATTCGACAGGTGGGTGGATGGGTGGGGTTGAGATTGCTCTGGTGTGTGGGTGTTGCTGTGGGACGGGGACGTGCTGCTGGTGATGGGGGCTTGCCCGGGCAGAGAGGTGGCGGGGAAGTGGTTGAGGCAGCGAGGGCTGACTGTGGTGGAGGTTGGGGCGTGGGAGGAGATGGTGGAGCGCATTCGACAGGTGGGTGGATGGGTGGGGTTGAGATTGCTCTGGTGTGTGGGTGTTGCTGTGGGACGGGGACGTGCTGCTGGTGATGGGGGCTTGCCCGGGCAGAGAGGTGGCGGGGAAGTGGTTGAGGCAGCGAGGGCTGACTGTGGTGGAGGTTGGGGCGTGGGAGGAGATGGTGGAGCGCATTCGACAGGTGGGTGGATGGGTGGGGTTGAGATTGCTCTGGTGTGTGGGTGTTGCTGTGGGACGGGGACGTGCTGCTGGTGATGGGGGCTTGCCCGGGCAGAGAGGTGGCGGGGAAGTGGTTGAGGCAGCGAGGGCTGACTGTGGTGGAGGTTGGGGCGTGGGAGGAGATGGTGGAGCGCATTCGACAGGTGGGTGGATGGGTGGGGTTGAGATTGCTCTGGTGTGTGGGTGTTGCTGTGGGACGGGGACGTGCTGCTGGTGATGGGCACGTGCCCGGGCAGAGAGGTGGCGGGGAAGTGGTTGAGGCAGCGAGGGCTGACTGTGGTGGAGGTTGGGGCGTGGGAAGAAATGGTGGAGCGCATTCGACAGGTGGGTAATTGACGAGAATCTTGATCAGAATCTGCCAGTTTTCCTGTTCGAAGGTATGGGATCATGTGAAGAGCCATTCGCAGAAGGTATGGGTTGATCTTTGATCTGTGGGGCGCTGTGGGTTCAGTTTGTGCTGCTGTGTGTGCGGGTGTTGTGGGGATGGTGTGTTCTTGCTGTGATTGTGCCGTAATTGGTGCCTGGAGGCCTCTCATGCCCGCGCTGTGGGACGGGGACGTGCTGCTGGGGTTGTTGTGTGCTTGTCTTGTTGTAACCATGCTGGGGTTGCGGCATCGGGGGCTGACGGTTGTGGAGGTAGGCGTGTGGGAGGGAGGATATGGTGAGCGGATTCACCAGCCAGGTCTCTGTTTGAGATTTAAGTAGTACAAGCGGAATTTTGTACTGTCCTTCTTCTGCTTACGCCTAGTTAAGTCTGCAGCTTGCTGGGACTATGTCTGAAGACCAGTTGACTGTGGTGGAGATAGGCGTGTGGGAGGGAGGGTATGGTGAGCGGATTTGCCAGGTGCGTCCGCAGAATCAGTCCTCTTGTTCCCCTAGCCCTTCTTCAAGATTTTTGTAGCCCCGTTTTCAACTTCCCTGCTGTCCCCCTCGTCACAGCTTTCATTTCATTTCAGAAATCAATGAAAACGGACCACGTTTTTTATGTTATAACTTTCCTGATTTCCCCTCTTTCCTCCTCTCCCAACGCAGGTAGCGACAGCAGCAGAGGAGAAGGCGAGGGCAACGGAGGCAGCATACGAGCGCATGAGAATGGACGACCCGTTTCTGCTCCTCCCATCCTTCCCCAACGCCAACCCTAACCCTAACTCTGACGCCGCCGCTGCCCAGCCTCTTAGCTCTGCCGATGCTTTCGCCGCCCTGCAAAGGTTCGGGGATCCACCAGCAGGTTCGGGAGAAGCAGGGAAGGAAGGTTCGGGGCTAGGCTCGGCGGCGCCCTGGCCGAGGGTCGGGGGATTGGGGGCAGGGGGAGGGGGAGGGGGAGGAGGGTTGGGAGGTGGGCTGCGCAGGCAAACCAGTCTTGGGGTCGCTCTTGGGGGAGGGGGAGGATTGGGGGGAGCGTTGGGGGGAGGTTTGGGGGGAGGAGGGGGAGGAGGCGGAGGGTTGATGGGCAGTGGAGGGGGAGGGCTGATGGGGGGTGGAGGGGTGGATTTGGAAAGCTTTAAGAAGGGCATTCTGTCGCTTGGCCTGCGGGATGCTGGTGGTAGTGCTGGATCTCTGCTGTCGGCAGGTAGCGGGGGAGGTGGAACTGGGGGAGGTGGAGGAGGGGGAGGAGGGAGTGGTGATGGTGCGAGGAATGGGTTGGGGAGTGAGATATCAGGAGCAGGGGTGGAGGCAGGAGGAAGGATCCCTGGAGTGGCTTCTGTAGAGGCAGCAACAGTAGGAGGAGCAGCAGCAGCAGGCGAGGCAACAGCAGGGGGAGCAGCAGCAGCAGCAGGCGAGGCAACAGCAGGGGGAGCAGCAGCAGGGGAGAAGGGCAGCAGTGGAAACAGCAGTAGTGTGGGTGGGATTCGCAGTGCAGGAAGCTCACCTCTTAGGTTGGCTCGCATAGGTAGTGTGAGCAGTGGGCACAGGAGACAGAGCAGCCTTGAGCGCATCGGAGCACTCTTTGGCGGAGCAGGAGGGGGACCTGGGGCAGGGGGAGAAAAAGATGCAGGAGGGGTAGGGGTGGGCGGATGGGAGGCGCCTGGTAAGAGTGGGTTAGCCAAGGAAGGGATGGGGGTTGGGGGGGCAGGAGGGGGGGCAGGAGCGGGAGGAGGAGGGGGAGCAGGAGGGGGAGCAGGAGGGGGAGCAGGAGGGGGGGCAGGAGGGGGGGCGAGGAGAGGACTGGAAAGAACAGTGAGTTTACAATCTGAGAAGAAGGTTCTGGGAGGGGGAGGAGCAGCAGGGGGCGGTGCCGGTGGTGGGCTGTGGAAGCAGGGAAGTCTGACTCTCGGGAAGGTGTTTCGACGGGGCAGTGGGGGCAGTGATGCGAGCTCTGGTGGGGCGGGAGGGGGTATGGGCAGCAGCGGCGGCAGCGGGAGTAGCGGCAGCACGAGCGTGTGGCGACAGAGCAGCATGGAAGGGCTGTTCTCGAACGCGTTTTCCACCGGAATGCGCAACGACCGGAAGAGCAGCGGGTTTTCGAGCGCGAACAGCGACGGCGACGATAACAGTACTCATAATATTAATAACGGTGATAATAGTAATCACGGGCAGAAACAGGCTACTGTGGCGCTCGTGGTAGTAGATACCTGCATGCTTCCGGGATTGACGTTACCGTTACCGTCGGATAACAAGCAGCCTGGTGATTGGTCGGCGCAGAACCCGCCACCCCTGCCGTCGTCTGCTGCTGCTGCCGCCGCTGCCACGGCTGCTTCGGCAGCAGCAGGGCAGGCAGAGGCTTTAGGCACAGCTGCTGCTGCAACGACAGGGGCGGGCGGGGTGGGGGGGGTGGTCGGTGGAGGAGGAGGGGGACAGGGGAGCGGGAGTGGAACAGGGGGAACAGCAGCAGGGGGAGCAGCAGGGGCGGGGGGAGGGGCAGGGGCAGGAGCGGAGGCGGATCTAGGCCCTCTAAACGAGCTGCTCGCGTTACTAGAGATCTGCAGGGCAGGAGGGGGTAACAGCTCTCTGCCTGTAATGTGGTTGGTGGCTGCTAACACGCCTGCCTCTGTGCGTGAGCGGTTGAGAGCGGCTGGGTGCGATACTATTGTGTCTAAGCCCCTGCATCCTACTAGGATGGAGCAGCTGTTGAATCTAGCTATGGATATAAAGTATGGGATTGGGGGAAATGCGGAGGCCGGGGTGGGAGGGGAGCGGGGGGGTGAGGACGGGGAGGAGAGAGTGGGGGATGGGGAGGGGGAGGGAGATGGTGGGGGGAGTGAGGGAGGTGCAGGAGGAGGGGTGTGGGGGGTTCTGGATGAGTTGGGGAAGGAGAAGGGGAGGGAGAGAGGGAGGGAGAAGGGAGGAGGGAGCGGAGGAGGGAAGGGAGGAGGGAAGGAGGGGAAGGGGCGCAAGAGCGTGAATGTGAATGTGAGGATTCAGAGGTGTTTGAGTGCGGTTGATGAGGAGTTGAGTCATGCGGACGAGATGAGCAATGGGGGGGAGGATTCTTGCCTATCCACCCCTGTTGGGAGTTCTGAATTTGACCTCACTACCCCGAGGTCTGGTGATGGGGCGTGGGAACGGAGAGAGGGGAGGGAGAGGAGGGAGGGGAGAGATAGGAGGGAGGGGAGGGACAGGAGGGAAGAGAGGGAAGGGAGAGACAGACCGAGCAATAGTGGTGATGATGAGAGCGATGGTGATGGGGAAAGAGGAGGTAGAGGAGAGAGAGGCGGGAGAGATGACGGATGGGAAAGAGGAGAGAGGAGAGAACGAGGGGAACGAGGAGAGAGGAGAGAAAGAGGGGAGAAGGGGGATAGAGGGGAAAGAGGAGAAAGAGGAGAAAGAGGAGAGAGAAGGGATGGCCAGTACCGTTCGCAAAGGAGGAAAGAGGGTTCCGAGAGTGGTGATAGCGACAGATACAGCGAGGGAGCAGGGGATAGGGACAGCCGAGCAGGGGATACACGAGTGGGAGGAGGAGGGGCAATCACGCCTAGAACCCCCCGCACCCCAGGGACTCTTCTCGTGCCATTCCCTCGCTCGGAATCCCGGGGGTCTCAAGACGGGAGCAAAGCGGGCGGGCAGGAGGAGCACTCTCGGCACGGGTCTTTCCGAAAAGACTCGGTGGCGTCACTCTCTCTCATCTCGCCTCGCTCCCCCTCGTCTCTCTCCTCGGGATCCTCTCCCTCTATGGATCGCTCTGCTAGTGGACGGCTCTTGCCTGCCATTGACTCGCTCTTCTCCCCTCGCAAGCACTCGCAGTCTCATTCTCAGTCGCATCGTGCTTCTTCTTCTTCTTCCTCTCGTGCCAAGCGTAGCGGCAGCGGCAGCAGTAGTGGCAGCAGAAGCAGGGAGAGGGGCGGAGGGGGTGCGAGTGCATCGGGGGCAGCATCTCACCAGAAGGCAGTGCTAGGCCCGCCGTCAGCACTGGCAGGTGAGAGCTTGCGAGAGCGAGTGAGTGAGTGAGTGAGAGCATGCGTGCGTGTGCGTTTTATGTGCGAGTGCTTCTGGGGCAGCATCCCACCACGAGGCAGTGCTAGGCCCGCCGTCAGCCCTGGCAGGTGAGGGCGTGGTGAGTGAGTGAGTGAGTGAGTGAGTGTGTGTGGGCATGTGTGCATGCATCCGTGTGTGTTATTTGTGCGAATGCATCAGGCCCATCGTCTCACCAGAGGGCAGTGCTGGGGGACTGGCTTTAACCCTGGCAGGTATGTATGTGGGTCCTTGCGTGCGTGCGTGCAGGTGGGCTAGCGTTTGTGTGTGTGTATCGGTGTGTATAGTTGCGTACGCATGTCTGCCTGCATATATGTGCGTGCGTGCACGTCTGTAAAACCCACCCAGGCCCCTACTATTTCCATGCTCTTGCTCCTGAAAGGCTCTTACTACCCAACCGGCACTCAACATGTGAATCCATGCTTCATACTCCCCCCCTCCCTCGCGGCACGCCATGTCACTCCGCACCCCTGCCAGGTGTGCACATCCTATTGGCCGAGGACGTGGCAATGCTGCAGCGGGTGGCGGTGCTGATGCTCAAGAAGATGGGCGCGACGGTGGTGGCGGTGAGCAACGGTCAGGAGGCGTTGGATGCGGTGACAAGGCAGATCCGAGGGGAGGCGGACGGGGGAGAGGCGTTTGACCTCGTGCTCATGGACTGCCAGGTGCGTGTGTGTTGGGGAAGGGGGGAGGAGGACTAAAAGGAGAGGGGAGGGGGGAGGAGGACTAGAAGGGGAGAGGGGGCAGTTGTGGCGATGATGTGGGGAGAGGCGTTTTGACCTCGTGCTCATGGACTGCCAGGTGCGTGGATTGAAGGGGAGGAGGAGGGCCATGTGTATGTGTGTTGACCTCGTGCTCATGGGTTGCCAGGTGCGTGTGTGTTGGGGAGGGGGGGAGGAGGATAGGTGAGGGAATCGAGAGACTGCCGGATCAGAGGCGTGTTGACCTCGTGCTCATGGACTGCCAGGTGCATGTGTGTTGGGGAAGGCAGAGAGAGGGGGGACCCGGAGGGGCTAGGTGCGTGGGAGGCGAGGAAGATTGGGTGGGGAGGGGGGGGAGTAAGGAGGACCAGAAGGAGAGGGTGTAGTGGTGGCAATGATGGGGGGAGAGGCGTTTGACCTCATGCTGATGGACTGTCAGGTGCGTGGTGGGGAGTATGGCGTGACAGGTGTTTGGTTGTGATTTGCTGGCACTGGTGCCACTGGTGGGCATTGTTGGGTGCTGGTGGTATTGGAGGTGGCAGTGTAATGAGTCGTGTTTTGAGTCAGCTCAAAAGACGACCCATTGCATGTTTTTTTGAGAATTCTCAAAAAGCATACATTACACGTGGGCACTGTTGGGCGCTGGTGGCGCTGGTGGTAGCAGAGGTGGCCGCGAGCAACGGTACTCCCAAGGAGGGTGACGGTTGGAGAAGAGAAGTTCTAGGCTCGGTGCATGTGCGATGGACGATGACTTTTGAGTCAACTCATAGATCAACTGGAGGCGGTTGGAAAGAGAAACGTTAGGTCCCATCTTTGCGATGGACGATGTGCAAGGTGTGCGGTACGGACTGGTGGGTGGGAGGTTTCTAGTGGTTGGGAGGGGAAACCGCTCACTCCCTGCATGTGCACATGGACTCTCTCCTGAGGATGGGCTTATGTGGTGTATTGTGTGCTTGTGAGCATCACACACTCTCCTCCCTCCCTGCCTTCCACATCCGCGTGTGATGAGACGGTTTTCCGGTCGACTCAAAAATCCTCTCACAAGGATGGGCTTATGTGGTGCGCTGTGTGCTTGTGAGCATCGCACTCTCTCCTCCCTCCCTGCCTTCCGCATCCACCTTCCCTAATGTGTTCTCCTGTCCTCACACCCAACCTGCTGCCTGCCTGCCGTCCACCTGCAGCTCAACTGCCCCCCACCTGCCGCCCACCTACCACCCACCTACCCCCACTCCCCCCCCCCACCTACCCCCCAACCCCACCCCACCGCAGATGCCTGTGTTGGACGGGTACGCAGCAACGCGGGCAATCAGAGAGGTGGAGAGGGGTGCAGAGGTGCACATTCCGGTGGTGGCACTGACAGCCAATGCCATGGCAGGGGATCATCACAAGTGCCTCGATGCTGGCATGGATGGGTACCTTACAAAGCCTATAGACAGCAAGCTACTAACGGAAACAGTGAAGAAGCTCTTAGGGGATCGGAGGAAGCACAAGTGAGTGTACAGGGGAGGCCGGAGTGTTTGAATGGGGAGGGGAGAGCTTGATCATTGTATTTATGTGCTCCTGTGTGTATAGATTCATGCGGTGTGGCTGTGTGCAGATGGGTAAGGATGACTGATATCTTATTGTCCGAAACAGTCTACCGTATTTGGTTATGATAGGTTGGTGCTGATTCCTCTACTGATAGTATGTCAGAATTCTTCAAACACTATAGGACCCTCCAAACCAACCAAACCAAACACTTTGTACCATATACCTATCAATTGGCAGCAATTTTTCAATTAGCATAGCTGGTGTTCAAAGAGGCAAGGCAAACAGTTTGAACTAAAGAAAGCAAACAATCAAAAAGCGTACGATAATTAAAGTCTCATTAGCCCAATGGGCATGAAGATCACTAAGGGCAGGTCAGACTTAGTTCACTTCCAGTCCAGTGTACGTGGTGGAAAAAGTTGCTGTGAGTTGTAGAGTGGTTTGTCTGATTCACTCCTCTGAACCGCTATCTACCAGCCTGAACTGTGATAGTACCCAAACTCAAAACGAACTAGGCGTGACCCGCCCTAATCCGGTATAGGTAAACAGATGCACGGTTGGTGAACACTTTCTCATATCACTCACCAAAATTGCTGAATTATCACCAACGCTGCATTCTCAGCTGGAGATTCACTCACTCACTGCTTCACCCTGACGAAACGATCCTCCGCCAATCGGGACTCGCCACTCGGAGTCACCGCAGGCCGCTTCTTCCCATTCTTCGTCATCGACGGAAACCGCCACAGTCCCACACCCGGCGAAAAAACTTTCGGTGTCGCAAACGGGTAACCAGAGCCACCCTTCGGCGTAGCTCCCTTAGGAGTAAATCCCATGGGCGTGAACACCTTAGGTGTGAATCCCTTCCCGAACGACAGGCCCCTAGGAGTGAGAGCACTGAACATGTCGGAAAACATGTCTCTAAAACCCCCATCCTCGTTGGGCGATCCGCTCTTTTGGCACCCTTTACCCTCTCCGTGAATCCCGGCTCCTGACTTCTCCGCCGAGCTTTTTTTGCTTGCAGCTGAGCCGTTTTCGGAACTGACACGCGGCGTGAAAACATCGGCGGAGTCTAGAACTTTGTGCATCCACGTGTACCCGTGTCGTTGGCTAGGATGCTCCGGGACCTTGATGGTGACGTCATCATGCCCATGCACATACATGGGCTGCTCCAGATCTGCCGTCGCTAATCCCGAGGCGAGTGATGGCGTAGCAGCAGCAGCAGCGGACGCGCAGCCAGCAGTTGCGCCGCCAGTTAGGCCAGCATCTGGGCTGACAGTGTCGGCGGAAACCATTTGCGGACTGCGAGGAACTTTCCAGGTTCCCGCAGCTGCCGAAGCGCATTGAGACTCAGCCATGGTTACATTTTCATAGCTTGCGGACGATAATTTCTCGAACGCGCTGCTGCTGTTACCGTTGCAAGCACCAGGTAGGTCCGTGGTGCTGCCGTGCTGCGACTGAAATCCCCCGAATCTCCCGCTCTCCTCCACGTCCGTCGCGCTCCCGCCGCATCCCGAGACGAATCTTTCCGAGTTATCCACTGAAGAATCCACGAAAGCCTCCGATACAAGCTGCACCGACGCAGTCACATCGTCGCTTCCGGATTTGGCGGACCGCTCTCCGTCGTCGATTATAATCGCGTCCATCATCGTGTTTAGAAGCATGCGCTCCTCGTCATCAGCACATCCTTTATAATCACCACCGGTCATGCCACTCTCGTCCTCGTCTTTCGCGAGAAGAAGATCGACGAAACGCTCGCCGCACTCATCGCCGCAGTTGTCGCCGCCACCCATCGCCGATGTAGAACCCGCGCCCGGTACAGTCATCTGCTTCGATTGAATCACACTGTTAACAGCGTCGCAATCGTTCGTGACGATTTGCCCCTTCGCCATTGTAACTTGCTCCGCGAAGGCGCCGAGCGTCAGCGACGGCGCGGGCGACATCGGTCGTGCGACCGTCGCGGAGCTCAAGTTCGGCGAAGCCGGCGCAATCAACGGCGAGTTAAGCGGCGCGTTTGGCGGGGCGACATTGCCCTTGATGAAAACACGGCACAACACCAACGCCGCGAGCTCGCTCCCGGCCTCCGCTTCGAGTCGATACTCGTCCATTATCCAGTCCGTCTTAGATCCCTTGTGGTCGCTCGGTCCGGATTTCGAATAGTACACTAATTTCTTCTTCATTCCCGTTATGCCGCCGTCTGAATGGGCATTTTGGCCGTTCTTGCTGCTGCCCTTACTCCCGCCGAGGCGCACCGCGTGGTCGTTTCCCGTGGATTTCCAGAATCCGACAACCGTCTCGCCGCATTTTACGGAACGTTCTTTCTTGGAGCCATGCTGCGACGGGCGGTAGAAGAAGAACCATTCGCCGTCGAAGCATGCATCGGAAGGCAGGCTGCTCGGGTCGCACCGCAAAACGTTAACCTCGGGCAGCTGAAGGAGTGGACGCGCAGTGTAAGCTTGCCCGGATGTGCGGTTTAGGAGGTAAGAGAAAACGAGTTCTTCTTCCGACGGCCGAAAACGGTAACCGACTGGAAGGGAGTGTAACAGCGGTGAAGCTGCCATACTCAGAGGGGATCGATACAGTCTATTAAGAGAAGCCCCTAACTACGAGTTACAACCACACTGCAACTTGAGCAAGTTCTACTAAACGATACTAATCTGCAAGTATTGAAGGCTCAACGTTGAGGGTGGAGATGCCGCTAGTTGCAGGGAGAGTTGAAGTGGATAGCACAAAAAAATCACGGAATAATGAGTGCGGAGTTTCTGCTTTTAGCCACCTCAAGGGTAGTCAAGCACTTGCCCTAGACGGCTGTTGCGCTAGAGAGAGCTCCCTCGCTCACATCTCGTCGTCTCGTGTGAGGCGGGGGAGGATACAGCACAACCGCCATGCTGCTGCGGTCTGCCTTACAGCAGCGGCAGGAGCCTGGAAGGAGGAGGATGAAGAGCTCGGACCAAGGCTTGGTTTGTGCCGGGCTGAGTGGCCTGGTCTGGCCTGGGCTGCGCTGACCTGGCTTGGCCTTGTAAACGTCTCACAGGGCTGGCCCCGTCCGAACCGAAGGGAAGCAAGGAACAAAAGTTTGAGCGGAAGAAGCACGTGTACAGTGCTTCAGGCGCAAACAGCAGGCCCCGCCGACCAGGCATCCGCGGGTTGGGCGGACAATTGACAGGGTGGCGGCTGCGGTGTGGTGTGGAGGAGAGGCAAGCTGGTGGGGAGGAGATATATGGTTGGCGAATCAGGAGTAAGGAAGAAACGACAAGATTCATTGACTGTCCGTGAACCATCAATCAATGAACTAGCCATCACAGGTGGCATGTTCTAATTGGAAGAACTGATGCATCGTGCGGAACCGAGGTGGAAGACTGTCGCACCTCATCGGGAAGACTGTCGCTTCCAGGGCATTATCCCTCATTTTCTGGGAAAATAAGGTCTGAGCTAACCAATTTGACTAACATTGGGGGGCTGAAACAAATCAGCCCTAGCTTCTAATGAGCTTGCTTAGTGTGTGATTCAGGCCTACCATGATTTCCCAAGGAAGTCTTCGGGTGGTCCCTGGGGCCGGGAGGACAAAGTCAACCCTAAAACTGTTAAGAGTGTGAGACTCGTTGTTAAGGTCGGACGGCATAGAGGCACTTAAACGTCACTCCAAATCGTGATATCTAAAGGCTCAACTCGCGCCAGAGTTGCAGCATGTAGGGATGAGGTTCTGTCCAATTTTGCCTCGCTCAGGTCATAATTTCTAAACCTCCAGACTATCCGGGTACCCCAAAACGAATCGACAGCCCAAATGAAGCGGGTGATATTCTTGGCGGAATTTCAGTGAGACTGCCTGTGTGTGCACTCGCGAGGTCGTGTGTCCCCAAACGTCACGCACAAGTGTGCAGCACGGCACGGGTGACGGGTGGTCGCACAACTTTTGTACGCTCCTTGCGGTCAACTACGTTTTGTCATGGTGCAAAGCGGTAAACCCACGTTTCGTCGAAGCGTGTCGCATTGCTGGACGGGGGTTGTATTGCACTGTGTTGTCTTCGACAATGGCATGGTTCGCATAGATGATAAGTTGGGAGTGATGAATCTAAGACAGTTAATTAACAAATCCAGCATACACAACACCTAGTTTAAAAATGTTCAGAACAAAGGCCAACATAGATAGCACCTAGTCAGGCTTTCAGATCGCAAGGGTAGCACACACACATCTACTCTAGTGTCATCGTCATTTCTCTTGGTAACCACCGCATTTGCCTTCCCTTTCTCCCTCTTTGCCTCATCTTCATTCTAGTTCCCTAAAATCTAGTTCATTCACGACAGATATATCAGGTCCAGGTTAGCATCAACTAACATAATAACGTAAGTATTGTGTTCAGTGTGCACCACCTTTGAAATCCGTTTTAAGCTGTGTCGCGTTTCGTGGATAAGGTCCCAGTGAGTGTGGGCTGGCAGCGTGCCTCGCAACCTGAGCAAGTGTGGTTAGAGCATTGCCCCTACCTGCCAGCTTTTCAGCCAGGCCACTTGGAGAAATGCTTGCACCACCAGCGCCACGCCACCACCGTCCGCAACTGATCCTCGCTGATTTCGCTTGAAATTCTCGTACAATGCGTGGCTTTTTCGCTTGCAATTCGCCTCGGGATTTACGCATAGATCTCCCCCTTGTCTCACGAAAGATAACTTCTCATGTGGTAATCCCTACACGCTGTTTCGTCAACCCCTTCTCGCAAGCTCAATTTCGCGAATGCGTCCTGCTGCCCTGTGCGATTCCAGCTTCCATCCAACAAGCCGAGTCATCTTTCATTTCATCTTTAGTAACCAGCAGCCTCTACTCACCCCAACTTTGACACGAAAAGGAATCGGTACACGAAGTCATCGTCTTTCGTGATCGACTATTGTTTTGGATCATAGCGCCATTGCAGCGTCACTACCAGCTCTTGCATTCGCACCGTGAAAGTAGAATACGACGACCTAAACCATCTCAGCCCGGCTCTGACTCTTTCTGACCACCCCGCCACCCCACAGCCTTGCTAATACAAATCAGAGCCATCACTTTCAGCCGGTCATAGTGGGAGTTCCCGCGACAATGTCTCGAGAGGAGAGAGCCTCCCCGTCAATGCCGACGCTGCTCATTCTCGTTCTGCTGCTGCTCGGAGCTCAACGGGCTCGCATTGCTCGAGGGCAGAACGGCGCGTTTCAAATCCGTGGATTGGTATGTTTCACTGATCGGCAATCTCAATGTTCACCGGGAAGTTCCTTCCTCCCCTCTCACCCCACAATCCCGTCCCCTCCTCCTCTCCCCCTCCTCCCCACCTCTACCTTCCTCCATATTTCCCGCCCGCCGCTCCCCCCCCCCACCCCCACCCACCCGATTCGAAAGTGACAGTCCCAGGCACTAATCCTGCACGCTCCCCATCCTCCAAGCATCACGTCGAGATACTTGTTACTGCGTGCAACGTTCGCAGCTTTAGTGAAATGCATCCGCTCCCGCCGCGTGTAACCTGTGCCAGGTGGACGAGAGTCCGGGTCGCATGCTGGAGCGGCATCAGTACGAACAGGAGGAGGCGGCAGTGCTACAGTCGTCATCCTCGCTACAAGCAGGCCACGAATCTCGGCAAGAAGAGCATCATGTGCGGAGGTGCGCATAGAGCCTTACCGCACCAACGAGCGTACATGCCGTTCGCTTAGCGAAGAGTCTACGAGATTCACCAAGGCTCTAGTATAGCTACTACCCCCATCTAACTTTCTTGCAAGCTACTAGCTTCGTATGACTTCATCGTCCGCTTTTTCAGAGGATGGGCATCGTGCACTGCTGCGCTTGTGCTCTCTCCCATTTTTCGTTTCCAGGCGTCTCGCTGTTAGCGCTAACCGCACGCGTCGTTCCCCCTAATTTACGCTCCCCCTTTCCCTCCTCCCGCCTGCCATCGCTTGCGCGAGCAGAGTGTTCGAGGCGGGGCAGGGCTCATGCGGCTTCCCCGACATGCGCGCAGACGCGGACGAGTGCGTGGCGGACCTGGCGGAGTTCCCCGCGCTGAGCGCGCGCAGCCGTTCCGCCAGCGCGCGGAAGCTCGCGTGCCTGGCGCACAACTACCTGCGCCCGTGGATGGGCATTCCGGGCATCTCCGCGGGCATGGGCGCGCGGGGAATGATCAATCCCGCGATGCTGCAGCAGATGGGCACCATGGCGAACGTGAGTATTAAATCCTGGATTACTAATCTTCCTGCACAGTCCCTTCCGCGCTCATGTCCCACACATCCCCACAACCCTCACCCCTTTCCCCGCTCCCTCCGCCGACCCACCCTCCCTTTTCGTACCCCCACGACATACGACATCCCTCCTGCTGTTGTGAAATTGCTTTCCTCTCCTCATAGTTCATTTCCTGTCCACGTCCCCTCTTGCCTAAGTTCTCTCGCCCCTCTCCTCCCCACCTCTCCCTCTCCTTCCCACACCCCCAACCTACCTTCCCCTCCCTACACGCTCGTGTCTGCATCACCTCCCCTTCCCGCTGCTCATGCCTCCTATGTCCACTGCTTGCCTTGTTGCTTCGCGGTTTCGCTCATGGCTGCGTGCAGGTCCTGTCTTGCGCGGGCCACGTGCGCATCGTTCGCGGGAAGATATTCTTCCGATTCGGCAACTTCGAGTTCGACTGGTACCGCCTCAGGCGATTCGTCTTCTCCGTCAAGATGATTCAGGTTAGTACTGTACAAGTTTCTCCGTCAACGTCATCGCGCGTTGCCTTTTTTCTGCTGCGATTCACGAAGCTTGTTACAACCAAACCAATCGCTAGTTTCATGAGATTGATGAGATTCGAGCCCTCTGTGATTGGTGGCGTATCTCACCCGTCCATCCAACCCAATCCACTCACCCTCATTCCAACTTTTTCAATCCGTTGTGCATCCCCTTTATACCGAGCAGGATGCGATACGCGAATACAAGCTACACAACCTGAACGCGGAATTCTTCCTCAATACATGCGACATGTACATTAGCAAAGCCAGCAGCGTCGCCAAGCCGCTAGCAGGGCTTCCCATTTTCAGCGTGCACGGCGCACCAGGCAGCATCGATATTCTTTATCCTGACCCAGTCGACCTCAGCAGCAACTATTTCCGGGAAGCAGAAGATGAGGTGAGCCCGGGCAGATTTGTGATGGCACGTGCTATGCGAACAGAGACTGGACAGTTTGAGGGGGGGTGAAAGGGCAGTTTTTCTAAATGAATACGTCATTTTCTAGGCTCATAAACTACATTGTTTCCTGTGGGTTCATATCTCATGTTCGTTGCACTCCTCCAAACCCTTCCTCTCGATCATTGTTCAATATCCTTGTGTAAAACACCTTATGCATTAAATCTTTGCCATTGCATTTGTGCAGATTCCGTGGGAGCAGAAGGAGAGCCGAGCTGTGTTCCGAGGTGGCATGACAAATTACAAGGTCGTCTACCCCAAGCACTGGCGGGGCAGCCCTCGATTCCGCGTGCACAGGTGAGGCATCACATGGCAACACATGGCATTACATGGAATCACATGGCATCACATGGCATCACATGGCATCACATGGCATCACATGGCATCACATGGCATCACATGGCATCACATGGCATCACATGGCATCACATGGCATCACATGGCATCACATGGCATCACATGGTATGGCACTATGTGGCATGGAATCACGTGGTATGACATATTAAAAGGTCATCTATCCCAAGCACTGGCAGGGCAGCCCTCGATTCCGCGTGCACAGGTGAGGTGGTGTTGTGTGTTCTTGTCTTGAGTTGCAATGATATCACATGGCACTATATAGCACCACATGGCACCATCACATGGCACCGCGCAGCATCCCATGGCACTCCATGACACCACATGACACCACATGACACCACATGGCACCACATGGCACCACATGGCACCATATAGCACCGTGTTCTCCACGCACCTTCATTCAACTCACTCTCCACTCTCATTCCGCACTCTCCTCCCTCCCCGGTCTGTTCCGCCACTCAATGCCCTCTCTGCCTTGATCCGAACCAGGATGTCGGACGTTCGGCCGGACCTGCTGGATGCCAGGGTAGTGGGGGGAGTGGACCCTGAGTACCGTGCAGGGTGAGTGATGAATCACGAAACCTCAACACACCCTAGCAACTGTCCGTATATTCACACTCCAATAACCTTTTTAGTTGGCATTTTGGACTCAGTTAACCCAATTAGCCACCAATGGTTCACAGTTGCTTCCCTGATGGGACTTTTGAGTCGCTTCAAAAGTCTACAGGTTGGACTGAAATACATAGAGGATGGTGGAAACGGGCAGTGGGCGCGTGTGCGGCGTGCTGTCGAGCAGCCAGATGCTGATCAAGCAGGCCAGCGAGTACACTCAGTTCTTCGACCTTCATTCCACTCCACCCCTCATCCTTCTCCTCCTTCCTTCCCCCCCGCTTCCCCTCCCCTCTCCTCACCGCTTGTCTCCTTGCAGACTCCGGCAAGATGCCATCTCATTCGGTAAACGCCTAGGCCCATCAGACCTCCAGAGCTACAAGTACGAACTCGACGTGGACGGCGGCACGGGCAGTGGGCGAGTGTGCGGCGTGCTGGCGAGCAGTCAGATGCTGATCAAGCAGGCCAGCGAGTACACTCAGTTCTTCGACCCACTCATGTGCCCGTTCCGGCACTTCCTGCCCACGCACCGGTTCTTCTCGGACCTGTTCGGGCAGATTGAGTGGGCGAGGCGGAATGATGGCGAGGCGAGGCGGATTGTTCGGCAAGCGAACGAGCTCGCCAGGTGGGTTTTCCTGAGTCACACAAATGGACATCATACACTTGCAATTGCACAAGCACATGCACACACATATCTTTACAAGCACACACAAACACATACACACACACACACCTACACACACACACACACACCAACCTACACACACACACATACACACACCAACACACACACGTACACGCACACACACAAACATACACAGACATACACATACACACACACAAGGACACACACGCGCGCGCTACACACCACCTCATTTTCTCTTCTCTCCCTTCCCATTCCCCGACACCCAATACAGTGACGTGTGCACCTTTGATGGCAGGCGCCTATACTGGGCCATCCTGCTGGCCAAATACTCTGTCTCTGCACTAGAGGACAACCGCAACATCACGCAGCCGGCACTGTTCACGTGCACTGCGCCGCCCACCCAAGGAGACGTGGACGGCCCCAAGAGCCAGACGAGGAGGCCGCCGCCCAGATGGCCGCCCAGATGTGACAGTGTGGACGCAGAGAGCCAGCCGCCTTGTACTCATTATTGCATAGGGCCTCTGGAGGACGAGAGCAAGTGGAAGTGGCTAACTGTAGATGCGCTTGATGGCATTGAGGTGTACAAACCTCACAACAAGCGCATCAACTTCCAAGATATGTGAGCAAGCGGGGAAGTCTGGTACATTGAGAGCATCTACGAGTAGCACTATGAGTAAAGCTTTTTTGCCAAGTTCCGGTACGAACAGCACATGCCACTTTAGATAACATTGTTGAAGCTTGCCAAATCCATAGGAATTATTCACCACCCACCAGAGGAGTGTTAGAATAGTAGCTAGAGAGAGCAATAGGGTTTGGTGGGAGAGAGTGTTGGCCAAGCAAAGAAGGGGTTGTACTATGAGTGAAATACAAGATATAGTGGTAGGGATGGTGGCCAAGAGGGGTATACCACCAACAATAGAAACCTAAATGATACTACACTAGCTAAGTTACATGCAGTTACATTATAATATAAATATATTTTAACATCCCCCCTTAACTTCATGCAGCGAAAGCTAGTATAGGGGCGAGACGTAACCCAAGTGCAGACTTCACCGGACCGCAGCTGGGCCCACCGATACAACACACGATGGAGTTTCCCGCCTGCGGTTTAAAACCGAAATATAAAATAGTGAAGGCCGTCCCAGCTTTAAATCGCTGCGATGAGTTGGGTTGACACAACACTGTTCCAAACAAACCGTGTAGGCAGGTTGAACTCATCTGATTGGCTCAAACAAATCTGAAAATTACTCCTCCCGCCAAAACGATTTTCCAGGCCCCATGTCAATCGTCGCATTTTTATACGCTGCACCCATACGACCGTTGCCCAGCGATGGTTTCCATCGCCAGGACCAACTTCCAAACCAAGTTGGGACTGGGTGAATGACTAGCTGATTTCGAGTCCCGAAGTCACTAGTGCTTTGCGTAGCATTAGTAGTAAAGCCGAGAAAGCGTAGATGTTTCTGGCCTAGGCACGTAAGATCCGACTTCGCTCGCGTGCGTAATGTAGTGAACATGGCTCTGTATAGTCAATATTTTTCTCGTCGCTCGCAAGTGAAACCCGACCCTTCACCTCGTAGCCCTCGCGTTCTCGGTAAATCAGGCTCCCGTCGCTCTACATCTCTTCTTCTCACAGTAACCATCGCGTTGCTCTCGCGCTCATATTGAATCGCCTTTCCGTCGCCCTTCCTCCCCCTCCTATCACCCACTTCGTCGCCGTCACGCGCGCCTCAAATCGCCCACCCTCGCCCCTACCGTCGCCATCACCCTCGCGATCTCCTCTCACATCCCGTCGCCTTTCCTCTCTTGTTGCCCTTCCTCACTCCTGTCGCCAGTTCGCTATCCCGTCGCCCTTCCTCTCTCTCGCCGCCCTTCCTGTCTCCCGTTGCCCTTCCTCCCCTGTCGCCCTTCTTCTCTCTCTCCTCCCGCCGCCCTCGCGTCTCATCGCGATCGCGTTCCCACCACACTCCCGTCACCCTCCGTCCCGCCTTTCGTAATTTATTACCTCCCCTCGCGTCGTTCCTCTTCTCTTCCCTCCCCTCCCGTCGATCCCTCTTCAGGTCCTCGATCCTGTGGCCTCGCTCTCTCCCATCCCTTTCCGCCGCCCTCACTCTCTCCCCTGCCATTCCGTCGCCCTCGTTCTCTCCCCTCCCTTTCCGCCGCCCTCGCTCTCTCCCCTCCCTTTCCGTCGCCCTCGCTCTCTCTCATCCCTTTCTGTCGCCCTCGCTCTCTCCCCTCCCTTTCAGTTGCCCTTGCTCTCTCCCCTCCCTTTCCGTCGCCCTCGCTCTCTCCCCTCCCTTTCCGTCGCCCTCGTTCTCTCCCCTCCCTTTCCCTCGCCCTCGCTCTCTCTCATCCCTTTCCGTCGCCCTCGTTCTCTCCCCTCCCTTTCCGCTGCCCTCATTCTCTCCCCTCCCTTTCCACCGCCCTCGCTCTCTCCCCTCCCTTTCCGTCGCCCTCGTTCTCTCCCCTCCCTTTCCGTTGACCCTTGCTCTCTCCCCTCCCTTTCCGTCGCCCTCGCTCTCTCCCCTCCCTTTCCGTCGCCCTCGTTCTCTCCCCTCCCTTTCCGTTGACCCTTGCTCTCTCCCCTCCCTTTCCGTCGCCCTCGCTCTCTCCCCTCCCTTTCCGTCGCCCTCGCTCTCTCTCATCCCTTTCCGTCGCCCTCGCTCTCTCCCCTCCTTTCCGTCGCCCTCATTCTCTCCCCTCCCTTTCGTACTTGCTATCTCCCCTAGCATTCCGTGGATTTTTCTCACGCATCTCTCATCTCGCGTCCTCTTTTCTATTGCTCTATTTGTCTATTCTCTGTTATACGCAGCGATGGTTCACATGTTGTTATTGCCGCCCTAGCAGGCCTATGTCTAAGGCCTTAGCTTTGTGTGAGTTGGGCTTGCTTTGCGTGAGTTGGGCTTGCTTTGCGTGGGTTGGACTTGCTTTGCACGAGTTGGACATGCTTCACGATGTAAATTTGGCTCTGAATGTGATTGCGATTCGCACGTCGTTGCCTTTCAAGCGACGTATTTGGACATGCTTGCGATGATTTTTGTTCGAGAAATTTGGAGACTCGATCAGTATCATATGGGGCTGGAAAAAAAAATACACAACAGTACTTCAACTTTCAAGTGGACCCAACTAGAAGGGGGGGGGTCACTATTTTAGCTGCTGGCTTTAACCCCCGCAGTGGATGCCCGGTGTGCGCGACAAGGGGCGAACACGCCCGGAAACGACGGAAACGACACGACAAGAAACGCGAAACGAGAAACAGAAAGAACCACTCTCTCTCTGTCTCACTCATTTTCCACCCCCTTCACCTCTCATCCCCCCACACTCTTCTCCTCCCTCCCTCCCCCCTGAACCTGTCTCCTCCCCCCCCCCCCCCCCCTACAGCAACACTTGCTGCAGGGAAAGAGGAAGAGGGAAGGGGGGGGAACGGGCGTGAGAAGCTGCCGGCGCAGGCGTCCGCGCTGGCGCTGGCGATTGAGACGGCGTCGGGCGCAGGCGTCCGCGCTGGCGCTAGTCGCTGGCGCCTGCGCCGACGCTCGTCGCTGGCGACGGGGGGCGGGGGTCAGCAGACGACGGGAGGCGCGACGAGGGGCGCGACGGGCAGGGCGCCACGGACGGGACGGAACGGGCAGGGCGGAACGCGCTCGGACGGGCAGGGCGAAACTTGCGCCACGCGCAGTTCGCAACAGGCGCAAACGGGCGGACGAAAAAAAAAAAAGGAAGCGCATTTCGCGCTAGGACGGGCGGGCCCATGTTCCGTGAAGAAAAAATAGGTCCTTAGACCGTTTTACAGCTCTGTACCATGTTAGAATAGTAGCTAGAGAGAGCCTTAGGGTTTGGTGGGAGAGAGTGTTGGCCAAACAAAGAAGGGGTTGTACTATGAGTGAAATACAAGATATAGTGGTAGGGATGGTGGCCAAGAGGGGTATACCACCAACAATAGAAACCTAAATGATACTACACTAGCTAAGTTACATGCAGTTACATTATAATATAAATATATTTTAACAAGGAGGCATAGCACGAGTACAGATCCAGCTTCAATTGCTACATTATGCAGTTGCTCCACTTCTAATATTTTTCCTTAGATTTTTCTTTCTAACGGTGCATGCCTGCCAGTATGAAAGAATGTGTTGTGTAATCAAGTAACGTAACTGGAATGCACTACACTTGATATAATTTACATATTTGAATCACGAATGGATTATATACAAGTAATTCTTAACCAAGTGGGGTGGTACTAGACGCAATTCCTAAACATACGGGGGCCATAAATAACAGAAAGGCTAGATTGGCAAGGCGATCTCACGCGACAGCTATCGCGTGGTCTTCTAGCGGGGAAAAGGCGTCGAGGTGTGGCGTGGTGAGCGAGGCAAGTGTGGGCAGGCTGGCAGGCATGTCCCGCGGGGCACTTCTGGCGCCTGCCACAATCCCAGCACCTGAATCGCCAGCCAGCCAATCTCCCATGATTCCACAATCCAGTCAACCAGATGCCTTTCCCCCTTCGAGGTCTGCACTTCCACCTGATCGGGCTGTCGTTGGCAATTGGCTAGTACTAGACAGGACTGGCGTCACCGTGCGTATGGTTTGGTGAGACAGGCATTGAAGCGATCCGTCTGCTGCGAAAATATTGCGAAAGCAGTTCCACGACGAAGAGCAGAGGAGACGAAACATAACGAAATTCGCAGAGGCGTGATTACCAAGTTTTTTACTCAATAATTTCGCAACTAGATTTGGGGAAACGAAAGGCAAATCCGTACCACAGGATCGACTTCCCCGCTCAGGAGCACATGAAATACGTGTTGTCCCAAGCTCACCAGCAACTTTCTACGTAAGGGTGTGTAAGATCCCCGTGCACACGTTTTGGCTGAATTTTGTCGACCATTTTGGTCGACAAAGCTTTCGCGAAGGTCGACAGATTAGTCGTCACCAGGTCGACAAATTTTCGGCCAACTCAGTGTGGCCTCCAAATCTGACACGGTTTTGCTGGCCGCTGTAACAGAGGTGGAAGATTTTGGTTTGTCCTTTTCTACTACTTGGTGCGACGATGTCGCACACATGAATACGATGTCGCAATTTCACTGTAGCAGCGTATGCGACTTCGTTTCTCACTGTAGACAGCTGCTGTCGACAGCATGGCCGATTTGAAGTCGACCACGCGTCGGAAAAGAGTCGACTAGTTTTCCGGCCATCAAATCACAAATTTGATGGTTGAAATTGACGAGATTCGCAAACCGATCACGAAATGGTTACTTTCGCTACGGCCACCTAATTTTGATGGCCGATTCTGTGTGCACGGGGATCTTACACGCCCTAATTCACGCTACACAAGCCCACGAGCTCCCTGCGCAATTCGCCGATTCTTCACCACGTTGAACGGCTCTCGTCCTCATTCTGCCTTCTCCGAATTCGAGTCCCGGACTGAACAGATAGGCGCATCGCCACGTCACTGAGTGTCCACAGCAAGCACCATGCGACGACCCCGCGCACCGCCACGCTTAACGGGGCGGAGTATGTCGCGAATAGCGCCTGCGCTAGTGCCGGTGACGCTGCTGCTATGGCTGTCGCTCTCCGCGTCGCACTGGCGAGGGTCGTTCGGGCAGCTGCTTGAGGAGCATCCGGGGCAGCAGCTCGGCGAGCTTTACCGCTTCACAGACATGGTGAGCGCTCTCGAGCCTTTGAGCACCTCACTTTCTCTCCGCGTCGCACTGGCGAGGGTCGCTCGGGCAGATGCTTGAGGAGCATCCGGGTCAGCAACTCGGCGAGCTGTACCGCTTCACAGACATGGTGAGCGCTCTCGAGCCTTTTGTGTTTTGAGTCGTCTCCAAAATGTGTGTTTTGAATCGACTCATAAAGTGTGGTTTGAGGTGACTCAAAACGTAGCTCAGGCAGCAGCTTGGCGAGCTGTACCGCTTCACAGACATGGTGAGCGCTCTCGAGCCTTTGAGCACCTCACTCTCCCTCCGCGTCGCATTGGCGAGGGTCGCTCGGGCAGCAGCTCGGCGAGCTGTACCGCTCGCTCTCGAACGTTTCACAGGAAGAGTTACGTTTTGACTCTTCTGCGGCACTCCATTTGACAGTAAGAGTCGATTTCCCCGATTGGTGTGTTCTGAATCGACTAAAAACGACACGAGGGTCGCTGGTGCACTAGCTCGGCGAGCTCTACCGCTTTACAGACATGGTGAGCGCTCTCGAGCATTCCACACGAAAAGGTTGATTACTTCGACCCGGTTGGCATGCATGCATTTGAGAAACTCGGGCAGCTTTCGAGCACTTCGCCCCCCAAAAAGGTCGAGTTTTTCGAGTTGGGATATCTCGAGGTCCTACTATGACTGGCGTAGTCGAATTGGTCACAGTCTCAGCACACCTCCGTACCACCCCCGTCGTCTTAGCTCACCTCCGTCTTAGACTTCTTTCAACGTTGTGTCGTGCGGTGTGTCGTGCCTCCGCACGTGTTATCCGCGCGTTCTCTGCGCGTCCTCCCGTCTGGTAGCTCCACCCTCACCTTCCTTTGGCTCGTCTCCATCTACTTTCCCTCTCCCTCTTCAACTTCGCTTTCCCCCTCCGCGAACCACCACACTCATCCACTCACCCACACACCCCCATCCACCCCTCCCCACCCCCCTCCTCTTCCCCCTCGCCTCCACCCCCTACGTTTTTATTCAGCCTGACGACAATCCTCGAAGGCGATTAGAGCGCTTCAATTCCGACGAGACCCCAATCCTGCAGTCCCTTCCTACCGCCGCCGACCGCGCCGTGAAAAGCGCCGACAGCAGCGCCGACCGCAGCCGCGGAGACTCCACCAGGGAGAACGGTGCTTCCGCCGCCGCTGCTGGCTTCCCCTCCTCCGCCTTCCCCCGCGTGTTCGAGTCTGGGCAGGGCTCGTGCGGCTTCCCCGACACGCGCGCAGACGCGGACGAGTGCGTGGCGGACCTGGCGGAGTTTCCCGCCCTGAGCGCGCGCAACGGTTCCGCGACCGTGCGGAAGCTCGCGTGCCTGGCGCACAACTACCTGCGCCCGTGGATGGGCATTCCGGGGGTCACAGCGGGAATGGGCACGCGGGGAATGATATCCGCGGAGATTCTGCACCAAATGGGGACCATGGCCAATGTATGTATGGCCGAACCGCTACAATTTCGCAAGTCGCATACGATACATTTTGCTTCGGAACACGATGAGTACTAGTTCCTGCCCCACCTTCCGCTGTCCCGCTGCATCCGCTCCTTTTTCCTCGTTAGCAACATTCTTTGACCATCGATTCTCCTCTGTCTTCCGCGTCGCCCATTACCGCATTCCCCGCACTTCCCCGCTCTTCCCCTTCCCCCCACTCCCCAATCACCCCTCTCCCCATCGTTGTCCTCATAACGATTTCTTCCCTACCGTCCCACACTTCTCCCTTGCCATCCGTCCGATCAGATCCTATCGTGCTCCGGCCACATCCCTTCCTTTTCTTCCCTTCCCGTGCTGCCCTCCCTTGGGCCCGAACAGATCCTATCGTGCTCCGGCCACATCCCTTCCTTTTCTTCCCTTCCCGTGCTGCCCTCCCTTGGGCCCGAACAGATCCTATCGTGCTCCGGCCACATCCCTTCCTTTTCTTCCCTTCCCGTGCTGCCCTCCCTTGGGCCCGAACAGATCCTATCGTGCTCTGGTCACATCCGCATCGTGCGCGGAAAGGTTTTCTTCCGCCTAGGCGCCTTCCAGTTCGACTGGTACCGCATGCGCCGATTCGTCTTCACCGTCAAAATGATCCAGGACGCTATTAGCGCGTACGAACTGTACAACCTGAACGCGGAGCTGTTCATAAACACGTGCGATCTGCCAACCAGCAAGGCGGACTCGGTCGCGCGGGCGGACCGCGCGGGAATGCCGCTGTTCAGCCCGCACGTCGTCCCGGGCTCCCTCGATATTCCCTACCCCGACCCCGTCGATCTGTCCAAGAGCTACTTTCGAGACGTTGAGGATAAGGTGTGTGCGAACGTATTGTGCGCCGGTAGGTGCGCGGTTTTGAAGTGAAGTTGGTCGGCTGGAAAATTGTGCGGCACAGATCTGTAGACTAAGTTTTTTCCTCGATACTCGCTGCCCCCATTCCGCTGTACAGCTCTGGTGAATATGTGAATACAACCCAGGTGAAATACAATATCAACAATATTCAAATATTCACCAAAGCTGGTGACATTTGAATATTTCACAATATGGTGAAATTTGTGCAGTTTCCAACCAGCCACCCCATCTCCTTTTGCTTCATTATCCATGCAAAAAAAACTCAGAGCCTCAAATAACAAACAACCCACTCCCGCCCCCCCACACATCTCAGGTCCCTTGGGAGGAAAAGCAGGGCCGGGCGGTGTTCCGGGGCGGCATGACCAACTACCACATCGCCATGCCCATGCACTGGCGCGCCAGCCCTCGCTTCCGCGTGCACCGCATGGCAGACGCCCGCCCGGACCTACTAGACGCGCGTGTCATGAGCGGCGTGGATGTGCGGTGGCGGGAGAGCATGGAGGCGGATGGGGTGCGGTTGGGTGGGAGGTTAAACCCTGAGGAATTGCAGGGGTTTAAGTATGAGCTGGATGTGGACGGCGGGACGGGGAGCGGCCGGACATGTGGGATTTTGGCGAGCAATCAGGTATGGTTTCTTGTATGTATGGTTTCTTGTGGTATTGATCTCTTGTTTACCCTTCCTAGATCCTCATCCTCCCCTCTCACGCATGCCCACTCTATCCCTCCCAGATCCCCCATACACACTCCCCCAATTTGCCATGAATTGAATGTGACACACAGGCCAGCGAGTATTATACGTTACTTGACCCGCTGCTGTGTGCCATGGTACCACCCACCACCACTTCTCACTCCCTTGTCCTTCCTCCTCCACCCTTGTGATATACTCACAGGTGTTGATTCGCCAAGCCAGCGAGTACTATCAGTTCTTCGACCCGCTGATGTGCCCCATGAAGCACTTCATTCCCACCCACCGCTACTTCAGCAACCTCTACTCGCAAATCCAATGGGCCCGCGACCATGACCAACGGGCGCGCGAGATTGTTGCTGCCGCCAACGACTTTGCCAGGTAAAACACACAACTGATAACAACAATATACCACTTCCTCCCCACCCACCGCCACTTCGACAACCTCTACTCGCAAATCCACACGAGATCATTGCAGCCGCCAATGGCTTTGCAAGGTAAATCACCTCATGTGACTTCTTCACCTCCCTCCCAGCACCACCTTCCCCTTCCCGGCGAGAAATCCCTCACTTTCCTGCAGCACTCTATGCACATGGGAAGGTGGGCGCCTGTTTTGAGCCATTCTCCTTGCCACTGACTCCACATGTGCACTGGAGGACAGCTCCTGGACCATTCTCCCCGAACTCACAGCCGATTTATCACTTCTTCTCTCCTTCCCTGAAGATTCTAGCAAATGTTTCCTCTCATAACCCTCTCTGTCTAGCAGCACTGTGCACATGGGAAGGTGGGCGCCGTGCCTATTTTGAGCCATTCTCCTCCTGGGAAAATGGCTCTACCAGTGGCCAGGAGGAGGAGAACGGCCCAAATGGCTCCAATGGCTCAGCCTAGCACCATCTCCCCTGATGCCCCTTGGACCCTTCTCCCCATCTCACAGCCCATTTCTGATTTCTTCCTTCTCGCGTTCCCTCTCGTTTCCCTCTCCCCCCTGCAGCACCCTGTGCACGTGGGAGGGACGGCGATTATTCTGGGCCATTCTTCTTGCCAAGTATTCAACCAGTGCCATAGAAGACAGCGCCAGCATCACAGCTCCGCCTCTCCACTCCTGCTCCTCCCCTCCTACTCAAGCCGACGTAGAGAAGCCCAGCAAGGCCACGCGGCACTTGAGACAAAAGATGCCGGCCGTGTGGCCGCCCTGGTGCGGCACAAAAGACGAGGTGCCCAACCAGCCGGAGTGTACTTATTACTGTATTGGGTACTTGGATGACGAGAGCAAGTGGAAGTGGTTATCGGGGGAGCTCTTAGAGGGGATAAAGGTGTTCAAACCGCGCAACGAGAGGGTGCGATTTTGAGACGAGTGAGAGGAAACTGCTAGTGGGCATGGCAGGCGAGAGCAAGAGATTTCAGTGGGAGAGGAGATGGTATGGCGTACCTCGTCTCATATGAGCACCTCTTTGCTTCGGTGGACCGAAAAGGGCGCAGCAGTACCACCCTGAAGGGCCTCTATAGAGGGCGACAGGTCACAGGCAGTGGCTGAGCCACCCACAACAACAAGTGCCTGTGCCACTGCTTGTCGGCTCTGAACACTGAGAATGGCATCCAAGCCAAGCCTAGGAAGGGGCCCTCGTTGCCTGAATAAATGCATTCGCAGCAGCTTCTGCTGCTGGTCATTCCTGCTGTGGCCTGTAGGTGACCAGCTTGTTGCATGTCGCCAGTGTGTGACAAGCATGATACAAATAAGTGAGATGCATGGATGGAGGTTATTGGTACCAATGTGATTGCTTTGAAGCATATGGTAGATATTCATGGTGATAAGATTGTGGATGTCTATGCAGCCTGTGTGTAATGCTAGAAATGTGACACGAAAGCACCAATGCAACGACTTACAAACGTTACGGTATGGGATAATGCTTGTTTGCTCCGAAAGTACATGCACGCATTACTAATATCAGGAGCAGAAATTACATGCATGCATTACTAACACCAGGAGCAGCAGTCGCTAGGCCAGACCCACATCTCCAATAGGAAACCGGCAAGAACAATAATCAGCAACCAGCCTTTAGTCATGGTTGAGCTTTGATGCACCTCAGAAGCTAACATTAGGAGTGCCGCTTGAGGTGAATCAAAGCTCATCCATTCAGTTACCACACCTCTGTGCAGTGCAATCGCTTGCCCCATATTGTCCGCCTCTACCTGCCTTGAGTGGCACTTGAGAAATGCTTGAGGCATGGCTTGCATGCCTGCTTGCATGGCTACCTGCAACCCAAGACCACTAAGGCCTGCCTCCACCGATGCCGCCACCTCCCATGCCGCCTCCTCCCATGCCCCCACTGCCCATACCTCCACCTCCCATGCCCCCAGGCCCGCCCATGCCACCGCCAGCAGCACCACCGCCAGCAGCACCACCGCCAGCAGCACCACCGCTAAAGCCTCCCCCTCCGCCAATGCCTCCTCCCCCAATGCCTCCTCCACGCATCCCTCCCCCTCCGCCCATTCCTCCTCCTCCCCCCAAGCTTCCTCCCATGCCTCCCCCGCCCATGCCTCCCCCGCCCATGCCTCCGCCCCCCATGCCTCCTCCTCCCATGCCTCCTCCCCCGGTCATTCCCCCAGGCCCTCCCATCCCACCGCCAGCAGCACCACCGCCCATGCCTCCACCGCCCATGCCTCCACCGCCCATGCCTTCCCCGCCCATGCCTCCCCCGCCACTCACACCGCCCCCAGATGGGCCTCCCTGACTGCCGTTATAGTCACCCCCATAGCTGCCACCATTGCCCCCTCCAGTGTTCCCCCCGCTATAGTCACCACCAGTGCTGTAGTCCCCACCACTCCCCCTGCTATAGTCACCACCGCCATTACCAGCACCATAGTCCCCACCATTGCTCCCCCCACCATAATCCCCCCCAGGTCCGCCCTGCCCGCCTCCAGCTCCCCCTTGCCCATTCCCAGGTCCGCCCTGTCCCCCACCAGGTCCGCCCTGCCCTCCCCCAGCTCCCCCCTGTCCCCAAGGTCCCCCGCCTTGCCCTAGCCCTCCCCCACAGCCCCCACCACCAGCAGCCCCCACTCCCCCTGCTGCAGCGCTGTAGAAACCACCTTGTCCGCCTGTGTTGCCTCCGTCATTACCGCCACTGTAGCTTCCCCCATTGCTGTAGTCACCACCATTGCCGCCTCCAGTCCCCCCTTGCCCGCCCCCAGCACCAGGTCCGCCCTGCCCGCCCCCAAATCCGCCCTGTCCGCCCCCAAATCCCCCAGGTCCGCCCTGTCCGCCCCCAAATCCCCCTTGTCCCCCACCAGCTCCCCCTTGCCCGCCACCTGACCCGCATCGCCCGCTCCCAGTCCCGCCAAGTCCGCCCCCAGGTCCGCCCTGTCCGACACCAGGTCCGCCCTGTCCGCCCCCAGGCCCTCTCCTGCAGTCCCCCCCACCGCCTCCCCTTCCTCCGCCTCCAACCCCCCCACCACTGCTACCTCCACCGCCATTACCCCCACCGCCACTGCCACCCCCGTAGTCTCCTCCGTTCCCGCCATTACCGCCACCATAATCACCTCCCCCGTTGTTCCCCCCGCTGTAGTCACCCCCATAGTCGCCTCCACCTCCGCCAGTGCCTCCCCCCGTGCCCCCACCAGTGCCGCCACCCCCTCCCCCTCCGGACGAGGCAGAGGAGCATGCGAAGTCCACTTGCAGCGCGCCACTGCCAGTGGAAAGAGAGATAGGGAGAGGGAGAGAGGGAGAGAGGGAGAAGGAGACAAAGTGGGAGAGGATTAGTGGGAGAAGCAGAATAGCAGGAGCATGAAAGAATCATCCTCTGATACTATGTGTGATGGAAAAGTAAAAGCGATGTACCGCTTATGGGCAGTGCAGTGGCACTCACTCATATCCGGCGTGGAAGTCGAGGGACTGCACTCACTCACTCACTCACTCAAACAGTCCCACATTCCTCTGGGCTGCAACACTCACTCATATCCGGCGTGGAAGCCGAGGGACTGCACTCACTCATATCCGGCGTGGAAGCCGAGGGACTACACTCACTCACTGTACTCACTCTTCACCTTGGGCTGGTGTGGGAGCACTCACTCATATCCGGCGTGGAAGCCGAGGGACTGCGAGCCATCGGCGGAGTGCGCCCACACGAGTGTGTTGCTGCCCTGCACGCTCACTGGCACCGACCCGTCTCCTGCTGAGCGGTTGAACCTGGAACAAGCGAGGGGGAAGGGAATCGAGGGAGGTGGGGGTAGGGTTGGGGAGGGCGTGTGTGAGTGAAGAGAGAATGAAAAAGAACGGAAAGCACACCTCAAAATGACTAGTAGTATCCCAAACCCGAAAACCCTGAGCCCTTTTTCGGTGATATATTTATTCCCAAGGACAAAACCGCAACATCCCAAACCAGTGCCCCCGCCTTACTTGAGAATGGTGGATCCCGAGGGTGACGTGGCGAGCTGCGCGTTGCCAATATCGAAGCTGCTTGTGGGCTGAACGTCGCTCTGCGCCGTGCCGCTCATGTACACCGCCTGGACGGCGGCGCCGCCCGCCAGATTGCCCACCACGGCGTCGGACGCCGCCATGCGGCCCGTCGCCGACCACCCCACGGCGAACCACCCCGCCGCCGCCGCGCTGCCGCCCGCCGCTTCCAGCGCCAAGGCGAGGCGCGACGAGTCCACTGCGCGCCAATGCAGCGTGAGTCCCGTGGACCCCAGCGCCGCCGACCACGCGAACCCCTCCAGCGTCGACGCCGCGCACCCCGCGCCCGCCGCCGCGGTTGTAGCAGCCGCGGAGCCAGCAGCGACGGTTGTACCGCCGGTGGTTGTCGTAGTAGCAGCAACTGCGGTGCTTCCTCCGTTGCTCCTTCTACCGGCGTTGATATTGCCACGAAGAATATTGCTTCCTGCCGTCCATATCGTGTGCGCTATGGTCCGGCCGCTCGATACTACTCCCTGTGGCCGCACCGTCATGTGCCTCGCGGCGTCCGCGGCGCCTGGGAAGCAGAGCAGCGAAGCGCCCAGCAGCAGGAGAAGCATGAGTAGGCCATTGGTTCCCTCACGACGCGAGCCAGGCGAACCCGCCATCATGCGTCGATTCATCAGGCGGTTCAAAAACGCGGGAAAATCGGAATGATACTATATCCAGTGATTCATTCACAGGCTCGTCGCGTGTGCTGCTGTAGTTATATAGCTTCAAAAACTACCTTGGTGCAAGATAGGGTAAGACACAAGTTGGAAGGATCTCCCAACAATCCTGGCTGATGGGCTGAGCAATGTGGCGCATTTATGTGTGCTTTTACACGCCGAAGCGCACGAGGAGACCACAGCAACATCCACACTCTCCAGATTTTCAAGAGATTCGCGAATCGTCGCGAGCGCTTGCGAGATGCTGGGCACCTGGGTTCAGCACAGAATGCTCGAATTCACGACAGGTGTTGTAACGCGACATTCTTTCATCAAGATCAGCCTCAACATTTCGCGCCTGTTGACTGCTGAAGCTTGATTCACGCTGACTGTCGGCTGTAGTGTTCGATCAGACTCGTTGACTCTGTGGTGTTTGACTCGTTATTTTCCTCCGTCAATAGAATTCCAGAGAAATCCATGGTATTGAAAGGCTCGATGTCGAAAGATGCACAGAGAAATGTGTTGTGTGTTTAACTCAGATTCCCACTGCATTCCATGTTATCCACAGATACATCAGAACTTTTTCCGTCTGGTAAGATTAGAAAGCCTGACCAAACGGAGAATTCTTTTACTTGAGACAAGTTCTGGAACATCATAGTGAATCTTGAAAACCACTCGGAAAAGCATACCGTAGCAATTTACCCATTAGTAGAGGCCCTGATCTGAATGTGATGAGATGCATTGTATTAAAAGGGAAGCTTCATCATATCCTTCAATTACGAGCTATGACGCACATAGGAGGACAATCAAAACAGTGTGCGATCAAACACTATATGGCGTTGCCACTAAAGAACAAAAGAACCACACCACGAATCATTGTACCTCTATGCAGATTGCAAGGACCTGTTGTCCTACTCCTGCTGTAACGGTTGAAAGAATCCCCCACCTCCATGCTGTGTATGCGACAAGCCCCCTCTCCCAACCCCACTCCCCAACCGCCCATCATCACCACCATCCTCACCAACCGTACCAAACTGCGCTCCACCCACTCCCACTCCCGTACCACCTCCCCCACCCCCTCCTCCGCCACCTCCCCCTCCCTGAAACCCCCCCATCACTCCACCAAACGTGCCTGACCCACCAGTGCTCCATCCCCTGCTGCCACCTGTCGGGCCTTTTGGCTCCTTGTGTCTCCGCTGCATGTCCAGGAATATTCGCAGGAGCGACGGGCCGTCTAGTGACGATCCGCTTCCGTCTGTGCTGCTGCTGGTGGTGGTGGCAGTGGTGGCGGCGGCAGTGGTGTTGAGAAAGGTGGCATTAGCACCAAATCCGTTCATCATTGCTGCATCTGCTGATGCTGCTGCTGTTGTTGGTATGGTCATACCTGCTCCTCCTGCTCCTGCCATTGCCATCGGAATCGCTGCTGCGGCTGCGCCACCGGACCAGCTGTCCGTTCTTACTGCAGCTGTGGAGGGTAGATTACCCTGTGAAGTCGTTTGCGAAATTGCTGATCCGTCTGCGAAGCTAGACTGCACGGCATGGGCAGCGGCTGAAGTAGAGGCGGCAGGGGAGAGGAAGGCGTTGAATGAGGCACTGCGCATAGCAGCAGCAGCGAGGGGGAAGGCTGGGCCAGCTGAGGGAATGGCTGGAACAGCAGCAGTAGCAGTGGGTGTTGCTGCAGCAGCAACAGTTGGTCTTTGTCCTCCTCCCATGCGCTCCTCTTGGCTGCTTGCCGTGCCAGCTGCAGCTGCTGCTGCCGCATTGCTGCTGCTGGCATGGTGTGAAAGTGAATTGCTGTGAGATGGAATGGCAATGGGCTGTGAAGCAGAGCCTAGGTTCGCTGCTGCTGAAGCAGAGGAGATGAGGTGGGAGTGGGGAAGTGGGCCGTGGAGGGAGTGAGGCGGAGGGGAGGAGGAGCGAGAGGCAGGTTTGGAGGAGAATGCGGAAGGATTGGAAGTGAGGTGTGGAGGGAGCGTGGTAGGTGCAAAGGAGGCGGTTAGAGGGATAGCTGGGTGAGGCAGGTAGGAGGAGGACTGAAGAGGGAGGGAGGAGGTGGGGGGAGGGGGTGGGTGGAGCATGAATGGAGGGGGGACGGTGGAGAGACGCGTGTGCAGCACTCTGAAAGCCACTCCGTGCTGTGAAAGGGGGTAGGGGGAAGACGGGAGGGAGGCGCAACGGAAGAGGAGAGGGAGGAGAGGAGCAAAAAGGGGGAGGCAAGGATGTGGTAGGAAAATGGGACGAAAGTGAGAGAAAGGTGGATGGGAACGGAGACAGGCAAACGGAAAAGCAGAGAGGAAGAACTTGAGGGAGGGACGGGAAAAGCGAGAGGTAGAGAGGATGTTATTCCCCAAGAGGTCATAGAGGATGGTGCAGAGCAGGTTGGTACGGTGATAGATGGTATAGTGAGAGATGGTACAGTGATAGATGGTAGTGATAGATATGGTACAGTGAGAGATGATACAGTGAGAAATGGTGCAGTGAGTGTGAGGAGTCTATTTCTGAGTCGACTCAAAAATAGACTCATCAGGTTAGTGCAGTGAGAGGTGGTGCAGTGAGAGATGGTGCTGCGAGTGTGAGAGTACGTCACTAGTACTTCTCGTCATTTTTGAGTCGACTTAAAAGTCACCTCTGCGAGTGTGAGAGTACGTCACTAGTACTTCTCGTCATGGTGAAGGAGAACAAAATTATCCGTTTTCTTCACCCTATAAGTGATTCCTTCTCGCAATTCTCCTCGTTTTGTTTTAGGTTATTGAGGCATAAAGTCACACTGTACTAATCCAGACATAACAGACGTGAGTGGCACACCAAGAGCATCACATATTGCATATACACGCGAGGTGACTTTTGAGTCGACTCAAAGGTCACCGCATACCATGAGAGCATCACATGCTGCATTTTGAGAATTCTCGACACGCGTACCTGTGGTAGCAGCATGAGCAGTCCGTAGAGAGCTTTCAAGAGAGCAGGAGAATGGGAAGGGTCGAGCAGCTGTTGGGGGGACATGGGAAGAGAAGGAGAGCTGTTTTGGAGAAGCAGGCCTGATTCGGCAGCAAGACGGCGAGAGTGGTAGCAGCATGAGCAGTCCGTAGAGTGCTTTCAAGAGAGAAGGAGAACGGGAAGGGTCGAGCAGCTGTTGGGGGGACATGGGAGGAGAAGGAGAGGTGTTTTGGTGAAGCAGGCCTGATTCGGCAGCAAGAGGGCGAGAGTGGTAGCAGCATGAGCAGTCCGTAGAGTGCTTTCAAGAGTTAAGGAGAACGGGAAGGGTCGAGCAGCTGTTGGGGGGACATGGGAGGAGAAGGAGAGGTGTTTTGGTGAAGCAGGCCTGATTCGGCAGCAAGAGGGCGAGAGTGGTAGCAGCATGAGCAGTCCGTAGAGTGCTTTCAAGAGAGAAGGAGAACGGGAAGGGTCCAGCAGCTGTTGGGGGGACATGGGAGGAGAAGGAGAGCTGTTTTGGAGGACCAGGGCGTGATTGGCAGCAAGAGGGCGAGAGATTGAAACTAAGGTAGATCGTGCGATGATTTCAACATCCTTAGTACGTACGGAGTTATGATGGCCTGCGAGCATGATAATGAATGGTGACATAAATGGAGCACATGGTGAGTCGAATCAAGAGTCATCGTGCAATGGTTTCAACAACCATAGTACGGAGTTATGATGGCCTGCAGGCATGATGAATGAGCTGACTTTTGAGTCGACTCTACAATGTCACACGGAGTTATGATGGCATGCGAGCATGATGAATGGCGTGCAGCCACGTTGATGGAACCACGATGACATCATGATGAAATCATGATGACACAGTAATGGAACGCATGGTGACATACGGAAGGCATGGCGACACAACCGAAGGCATCTGAAATAGAGTTTAATTGCGGCACGTCTCCTGAAATTCCTTCATGTCAGCATGCCTTTCAACTTGTCGAGGCACATAACAAGAATCGGAGTTTTAAACGTCATGAAACTTGACCATTGGCAAGGAAAGCTCCATTTCTGAAGAGAAACGATACTTTCGTGCCTCTGATTGAGAATGCATGGTTACTCCATGTGTGAATTGCCTTGAGCAAGTGAAGAGGCCACTGACCTGCAGCCTCAGCCTGCTGAAGATGGGCGTTTCAAGCAGAAGAACCAGCTTATCCATCTGCTCAGATGGACATGCATACATGCACATGCACATGCACATGCACAAATGTACAAAGACATACATGCACACGTAACACATTTTCAAATTCAATTGCATCATCAGAACACTATTGTTTACTAGCAACCTTATGGACTCAGAGAAAGAGCGGCTGCATGTATAAAGGAATCCTACTTGCCGCACTGCTGCTCGCCCAGTCTCAAGGCTCTATTGACTACACTTTTCTCCATCCACCCACCTGCACCATGAGGCTGAGGTCGCTCTCTTCTAGAGCATCCACAATGCACCACGCATGCTCGTACGCCTGGGCAGGTAACAGTGGGTGATGCTACTATTCATCTATCCTATTCTAATCCCCCCAGACAGACACTTGTCTCCTTCCACCCACCTGCACCATGAGGCTGAGGGAGAGGTCGCTTTCTTCTAGAGCATCCACGATGCACCACGCATGCTCGTACGCCTGGGCCAGCAGGCACAGGCTCACTGCCGCAATGGGTGAATGGCACCATGCCGGGTATAGCGCCAGAAACAACCCCCTCCCACTGCACACCGCCGCTGTTGTTGCTGCTCCTGGTGCTGCTGCTGCTGGTGGTGCTGGTGGTGCTCCTGATGCTGCTGCTGATGGTGCTCCTGGTGCTGTTGTGGGTGTGCTACCGGAAGCAGCAACTGCTGATCCTCCCCCTCTGCTTCCACCCCCACCCGCACCCTCACTTGCAAGCATAGACGGGGGGGAGGCGGGGGAGGGCGAGGGAGAGAACGAGGACCCAGCACCATCTGCTGCAGCTGCTGCAGAAGCAACATGACTAACAGCGGCCGAAGCAGCATGAGCAGCGGCAACTGCAGAGAACGAGGGTTGAGACCCCAAGGCAGTGGCAGAAACGGGAGCGGGAGCAGCGAAGGAGCGGCGGAGCTTGGAGCGGATGGGGGCGAGCTCGGGGGCAGTGAGGAGGATGAGGGAGAGCGTGGGAACGATGGTGGCGGCGAACTGGCAGTCGGACTCGTTCTGAAGGATGAAGGCCAGCTCTCGGAGGACTTTATCTGCGTCAAGCATTGCGCACAGGTGCCTAATGATGATGCTGCCCCGCCTGTGTAGGGGGGAGGGGGAGGGGGACGGTCAAAGGATGGGGAGAGGGCACGATGGTGGCGGCGAACTGGCAGTCGGACTCGTTCTGAGCAGCAGCAGCAGCAGCAGCAGCAGCAGCAGCAGCAGCAGCAGCAGCAGCAGCAGCAGCAGCAGCAGCAGCAGCAGCAGCAGCAGCAGCAGCAGCAGCAGCAGCAGCAGCAGCAGCAGCAGCAGCAGCAACAGAAGAGGGAGCAGGTCAGACACAATCAAGGACCATGAGAGAATTCAGAGAATGGGAGAGCATGCAGAGTAAGAGTACCTGTCAAGGAGGGCTCGGTCGGAGGTGAATCGCAGGAGGAGGAGGAGCAAGAGAAGAGGGAAAGGCTCAGACACAATCCAGGACCTCGAGCACATGCAAAGACAGGGAGAGCAAGCAGAGAGAGCACCTGTCAAGGAGGGCTCGGTCGGAGTTGAAGCGCAGGAGGAGGAGCAGCAGCAGGCGGTGGAAGTGGTGCGGGTGGCTGGCCACCGTGGCCTGCACTGATAGAGCCTCTAGCACCACCTGGGAGGGGATGGGTGCACGGTGGCATGGGGAGCAGAGACAACCTTTATTAGTTGCCTCAAAGCAGCAGCAGGCGGTGGAAGTGGTGCGGGTGGCTGGCTGGCCACTGTGGCCTGCACTGCCAGCGCCTCTAGCACCACCTGCGAGAGAGAAAGATTGTATGCGCGCATGGAATGGTTGCAGGGACCAGAGGAGAGGAGAGAAGCATCCACTAGTTCACTCAGAAAAGCAGCCGGCGGTGGCGTTGCAAGTGGTGCGGGTGGCTGGCCACTGTGGCCTGCACTGACAGCGCCTCTAGCACCACCTGCGAATGGGATGGGTGCATGGATGCATTATTATCTCACGGATTGGGCGAGAAGAGAGAGGCTTAACCACTGTGGACGTGGTGCGGGTGGCTGGCCACTGTGGCCTGCACTGATAATGAAGAACAACAGCGAATCATTCTAGAAAACAAGGGACCAAAAGCGAAGATCAAACTTGGATCTTCCAATTTGAACTGTCCACTCAGGATGTTAGAATCACATCAACGTTGCAATCGAAATTACACTATTATTAAAAACTATGCATGCACCGCACTACACTGCACTGCATTGAACCGCACTACACACCTGGTCTGAGTCATCTGCCAGCGCAGCGAGCAAGGACTCGAGAAGGGCAGTGGATGGATCGTCCATGAGGTCTAGGAGCTGGAGCGGGGGGTTGGGGGGGACAGGAAAGGCATTCAACAGAGGAGGCGGAACAGGGAACTTGAGAAACACAAAGAACCTTAAGAAGGGCAGTGGAGGGATCGTCCATGAGGTCTAGGAGCTGGAGGGGGGAGGAGGGAGGGAGGGAAGAGAGGCATTTGGGTGGAGAGTTGGAACAAGTACAGATTGGAGGGAAATTGAAGGGCAGAGAAGGGAATGTCCAAAAGGTGAAGGAGCTGTGGCGAGAGGGCAGGTGGGGCGGGGAAGAAGAACAAACATATGGAGAGAATGAAAGGGGAAACGAAGCAGAGGTGCAGATGCGTCATGATTCTTTCTGAGAGGAATTGCAATGTATTGGCCAATCTGAGGGTCAAATTAATATCGCGTGGTCTGGAATTCAAATAAAATAAACCACCGTGGTGAAGGTAGGAAATTACACACCTGGTGTGAGAATTAAAAAGATGAACCCACCTGGTGTGGGAAGCGGTGCAGAAGGGTGGCAATCCATGCGAGTGCTTCCAGCCTGGTGGCCTCCCAGCTGCTGCTCAGCTCGCTGCAATTACCATTCATGACCAAAGGGATCATCGAGGGAGCATATTTGTGCCACTCTTGAGAAATAGGTGACTTTGGAGTTGCTCAAAAGTCACCTTGCTTCCAACCTGGTGGCCTCCCAGCTGCTGCTCAGCTCGCTGCAATTGACCATTCATGACCAAAGGGATCATCGAGGGAACATGTTGGTGTCACTCTTGAGACTTGTCAAAAGTGATTCCATGCCACCAGAGAGCTGCACTATGCGAATCAGCTAGGATTTCCTAAAACACCTGTTTCTCCTTCGCTAAACTTTCTCCTCCACTGCTGCTCGCCGGATCATGCCTAACAGTCTGCCATCAGAGAGTTTTGAGACGTCTCAAAACGACTTTTGAGACGTCTCAAAAGTTTCCTATAACACCTGTTTCTCCTTTGCTAGACTTTCTCCTCCACTGCTGCTGCTCGCTGGATCATGTCTAACAGTCTGCCATCAGAGAGCTGCACTTGCATCGCCATCAGAGAGCTGCACTTGCATCGCCATCAGAGAGCTGCACTTGCATCGCCATCAGAGAGCTGCACTTGCATCGCCATCAGAGAGCTGCACTTGCATCGCCATCAGAGAGCTGCACTTGCATCGCCATCAGAGAGCTGCACTTGCATCGCCATCAGAGAGCTGCACTTGCATCGCCATCAGAGAGCTGCACTTGCATCGCCATCAGAGAGCTGCACTTGCATCGCCAGTGCCATCCACACGATTCAGTCACCTGCAAGTTGCAGCAGCCTATTGCTGCACTTTGCATATCCTCCCCCCAAAAACCACAACACTGTCTCCCCATCACCCACTGACAGCTATCTTCACGACTGCCAGTACGTCAAAGCCATCAACCACCTGTCAACGGCATTTACGTGCGTCTCCCCCCCACCCACCCACCCACCGCCTCAGTACCACCTGTGCCACACTCCCCCCTCCCCACCCACCCACCTGCCGCCTCAGTACCTTCCCTCCTCCCCCATCCCCGCCTTCAAACTCACCGCCGGGCTATTTCCACGACTGCCCGCACGTCGAAGCCATCAGCCACGCTCTGCTCCCTCACCCTCACATTCTCCATCTCCTCAACCTCAGTTTCTTCCCTCCCCGCCCCCTCCCCTTCACTCACCGTCGGGCTATTTCCACGACTGCCCGCACGTCGAAGCCATCTGCCACGCTCTGCTCCCTCACCCTCGCCAGCTGCTCCTCGTTTGTGTCACGTGCTATCTGCGTGGCAAGGGTGAGTGAGTGAGGGACAAGGGACAAATTCTCGGAAGTCAATACAGCAGTCATGCATGCATGTATTCCTGTCCGCCTTGCTTTGTTCCCTCACCCTCGCCAGCTGCTCCTCGTTTGTGTCGCGCACTATCTGCACGGAAGGCTGAGAGGCAAGTAACAGGGAAACAAGACATTGCGTGCTAGCAGCATGTAAATCATCACGCACGACGCAAGCAATCGAATCCGCCACGCTCTGCTCCCTCACTCTTGCCAACTGCTCCTAGTTCGTGTCGCGCGCTATCTACGCAGCAAGGGTGAGGGGCAAGGGGGACGGAAAGAAACACATTGTGGGCTAGCGGCATGTGAATCATGATGCACGACGCATGCAATCGAATCCGCCACGCTCTGCTCTGCTCCCTCACCCTCGCCAGCTTCTCCTCATTGGCGTCACGCACTATCTGCGAAGCATGGGGCAAGAGACAGGACAACAAACATTGTGTAAAATTTGAATTCCCTGAGAGAGCCAGGGGGGAAGAAGGTGGCGCCTTGTTGCATCATCACGTCATGTCGCATGTATTCCATCTGTCCGTCCAAATGTTGGAGCAGCAAGTGCGAACTGCTTTTTGAGAATTCTCAAAAGCAACTCCAACGTAGCACGTCACGTCGCATGCACTCCAGTCGGTCCATTCGTCGACATGTCGGGGCGGCAGTGCGAAGCGCACACATGCAATGGGAGCCAGCATGAGGCATTCATTCATGGTGCTGAAGGGTTTTTTTGAGAATTCTCAAAAAAACCCTTCAGCCAGCATGAGGCATTCATTCATGGTGCTGAAGGGTTTTTTTGAGAATTCTCAAAAAAACCCTTCAGCCAGCATGAGGCATTCATTCATGGTGCTGAAGGGTTTTTTTTGAGAATTCTCAAAAAAACCCTTCAGCCAGCATGAGGCATTCATTCATGGTGCTGAAGGGTTTTTTTGAGAATTCTCAAAAAAACCCTTCAGCCAGCATGAGGCATTCATTCATGGTGCTGAAGGGTTTTTTTGAGAATTCTCAAAAAAACCCTTCAGCCAGCATGAGGCATTCATTCATGGTGCTGAAGGGTTTTTTTGAGAATTCTCAAAAAAACCCTTCAGCCAGCATGAGGCATTCATTCATGGTGCTGAAGGGTTTTTTTGAGAATTCTCAAAAAAACCCTTCAGCCAGCATGAGGCATTCATTCATGGTGCTGAAGGGTTTTTTTGAGAATTCTCAAAAAAACCCTTCAGCCAGCATGAGGCATTCATTCATGGTGCTGAAGGATTTTTTGAGAATTCTCAAAAAAACCCTTCAGCCAGCATGAGGCATTCATTCATGGTCCTGAAGGGTTTTTTTGAGAATTCTCAAAAAAACCCTTCAGCCAGCATGAGGCATTCATTCATGGTGCTGAAGGGTTTTTTTGAGAATTCTCAAAAAAACCCTTCAGCCAGCATGAGGCATTCATTCATGGTGCTGAAGGGTTTTTTTGAGAATTCTCAAAAAAACCCTTCAGCCAGCATGAGGCATTCATTCATGGTCCTGAAGGGTTTTTTTGAGAATTCTCAAAAAAACCCTTAAGCCAGCATGAGGCATTCATTCATGGTGCTGAAGGGTTTTTTTTGAGAATTCTCAAAAAAACCCTTCAGCCAGCATGAGGCATTCATTCATGGTGCTGAAGGGTTTTTTTGAGAATTCTCAAAAAAACCCTTCAGCCAGCATGAGGCATTCATTCATGGTGCTGAAGGGTTTTTTTTGAGAATTCTCAAAAAAACCCTTCAGCCAGCATGAGGCATTCATTCATGGTCCTGAAGGGTTTTTTTGAGAATTCTCAAAAAAACCCTTCAGCCAGCATGAGGCATTCATTCATGGTGCTGAAGGGTTTTTTTGAGAATTCTCAAAAAAACCCTTCAGCCAGCATGAGGCATTCATTCATGGTGCTGAAGGGTTTTTTTGAGAATTCTCAAAAAAACCCTTCAGCCAGCATGAGGCATTCATTCATGGTGCTGAAGGTTTTTTTTGAGAATTCTCAAAAAAACCCTTCAGCCAGCATGAGGCATTCATTCATGGTGCTGAAGGGTTTTTTTGAGAATTCTCAAAAAAACCCTTCAGCCAGCATGAGGCATTCATTCATGGTGCTGAAGGGTTTTTTGAGAATTCTCAAAAAAACCCTTCAGCCAGCATGAGGCATTCATTCATGGTGCTGAAGGGTTTTTTTGAGAATTCTCAAAAAAACCCTTCAGCCAGCATGAGGCATTCATTCATGGTGCTGAAGGGTTTTTTTGAGAATTCTCAAAAAAACCCTTCAGCCAGCATGAGGCATTCATTCATGGTGCTGAAGGGTTTTTTTGAGAATTCTCAAAAAAACCCTTCAGCCAGCATGAGGCATTCATTCATGGTGCTGAAGGGTTTTTTTGAGAATTCTCAAAAAAACCCTTCAGCCAGCATGAGGCATTCATTCATGGTGCTGAAGGGTTTTTTTTGAGAATTCTCAAAAAAACCCTTCAGCCAGCATGAGGCATTCATTCATGGTGCTGAAGGTTTTTTTTGAGAATTCTCAAAAAAACCCTTCAGCCAGCATGAGGCATTCATTCATGGTGCTGAAGGGTTTTTTTGAGAATTCTCAAAAAAACCCTTCAGCCAGCATGAGGCATTCATTCATGGTGCTGAAGGGTTTTTTTGAGAATTCTCAAAAAAACCCTTCAGCCAGCATGAGGCATTCATTCATGGTGCTGAAGGGTTTTTTTGAGAATTCTCAAAAAAACCCTTCAGCCAGCATGAGGCATTCATTCATGGTGCTGAAGGGTTTTTTTGAGAATTCTCAAAAACACACAAGGAGAACCGGCATGTTGCATTACTTCGTGTTGGTGTTGGGTACTCCAAGTAAGTCTCACTCACTCACCGCTGCGATCTTCTCCTCGCGGTCGGCGATGCAGGGCAGGATGGCGCCCACCACAGCGGCAACAAGTCTTCCCCCGGCTAGTGATGCACCACAGAACAAAACCAGCACAGGGCTTTCACAAATTCACACTACAAGCTTTTGCACTCACCGCTGCGATCTTCTCCTCGCGGTCGGCGATGCAGGGCAGAATGGCGCCCACCACAGCAGCATAGTACGGCATCATCTGCGCGCCCCCCAGCTTCACAAAGTCGTTGATCTGCGTTGAGAAGGAGAGCAGAGAGCATGCATCAGCTTGCGGCATGGGATCACATGACATCATCATCTGCGCTCCCCCCAGCTTCACAAAGTCGTTGATCTGCGATTTAAGCAGCAGAGCAAAGAGCATGCATCAGATCTATGCATCATGTATGGGAAAAGACAAAAAAAACAAAGACAAAAGGTTTCAGACATAGAAATGAGTGCGTCCCATGCGACAACATCACGTCCCATCTCATCATACCCATGTGACAGCACCACATCACATCCCATCATGTGACAGTGTCACATCACATCCCACCATACCCATGTTACACCATCACATCACATCCCATATTACCCTCCCATCCCATCCCATCATACCCATGTGACAGCACCACATA